TTGATGTGGGTATGATAGATGGTCCTGTGCCATTATCTCCCATGTCTCACAATTGAAACCAAAGTTCTTCAGAGAGACTTTAAGAATGTCCTTGTATCTTTTCTTCTGACCATCATGTGTACACCTTTCTTGTGTGAGTTCTTTGTAAAACAGTGTTTTTGACAAATGTGTATTTGGTAAATTTGGCATTCAAACAACGTCGCCAGCCCATTGAAGTCGCCCTCTCTGGAGTAGAGTTTGAATGCTTGGCAATTCAGCTAAAGAAAGTCCTCAGTGTCTGGTACCTTATCTTGCCAAGTGATCTTCAGAATCTTCATAAGGCAATTCAAATCAAAGTGATTCAGTTTCCTGGCATGGTGCAGGTAGACTGTCCAGGTTTCACAGGCCTACAGCAATAGTCAGCACAATGGCTCTGTAGACTTTCAGTTTGGTAGTCAGTCTAATACCTTTTATCTCCCACACTTTCCTTTGGAGCTTCCAAAACATTGAACTAGCTTTGGCAATGTGTGCAACAATCTCATCATCTATATGTACATCTCTAGAAAATATGCTGCCAAGGTAAGTACACTTACCCACAATATTCAAAATGTCTCCATTTACTGTCATTGATGGTTCTATGTATGGATGGTGTGCTGGCTGGTGGAGAACCTCTGTTGTGTGTGTGTGTTAAGTGTCAGGTCAAAATTAGCACAAGCTGCAGAGAATTGGTTGGTACTGTGTTGCATCTCAGCCTCAGAGGCTGCACTGAATGCACAACCATCTGTGAACAACACTTTACACCAACTCTCTCTCCACTTTTGTCTTCACTTGTAGTCTTTTCAAATTAAATAATTTACCGTCAGTGTGGCAGCTGGCCTTGATGCTGTTTTCATCCTCACTGAAAGCTTCCAACAACATCACTGAAAATATCATGCTAAAAAGTGTGGGAGCAAGCATACAGCCTTGCTTTACTCCACTGGTGACTGGGAAAGTGTGGGAGCATCATACATTATACAGAATCTGTGCAAGCATGATGTCATGGAACTGGTGCACAATGCTGATGAACTCTGGACAACCAAACTTTGCCAAGATCTCCTATAAGCCCACACGATTGACAGTATCAAAGGCCTTGTCAGATCAAGAAACATTGAGTACAGATCTCGGTTCTGCTCCCGGAATTTCTCCAGTGATCAGGCAACAAACACCATAAGAACCATTCCTCTGCTGTTCCTGGCTTTCAGGTAGATGACCATTTTCCAAGTGAAGGATTAGCCTATTAAGGATGACTCTGGCAAGAATCTGCTGGCAGTGACTAAGACAGACTTCCCTATGATTGTCAAAAAGGGCAACCTATTTCCTTTTACTTTCTAGAGATGGACACAGAGGCATCCTTGAACTTTTGGGAGAATAACTTCCTCTTGCCATATAACCCAAAAGACCTCAGTTAGCTTTTGAATGGGCAACAGACCCTCTGCCTTGTAAATCTAAGCTGGAATAGAATCAGCACCAGGTACTTCTCCACATGAGGGGAGCCTAATGACATTCAAAGCCTCTTCTTCAGTTGGAACTTCAGTGAGACTGGAATTTACTTCAACCTGAGATACTGAGACAACAGAATCAGCGTTGGTAGAAGATAGTCTGCTGAGAACATTATGCAAATATTTAGCCCATCTCTCCAGGATTCCATCCTTCTTATTAAATGTGGCTCCATCAGCACTGAGTAGTGTGTCTCAACAACTAGGTCTTTGGGCCATAAATAGCCTTCAGGACATCATAAAAGTGATTTAGATGGTTACTATTAGCATAAAACTGAATTTCATCTGCCTTCTTATAGAGCCAAGAATCCCGCATCTCTCTAAGCTTCACTTCTTTCTTTTGGATGGAGTTAAACACTGCCTTCTTAGAGATGGATGAACTATCCTGCTAGCAAACCCTGTGGAGTTCTCATTTTTCATTTAGTAATTTCTGAATTTCTCCATCATTTTCATCAAGCCAACCCTGATATTTGTGAGTGTTCTAGATGAGATAGAAATAAAAAAGAAAGGTAGTCCTTCATGCTGTAACTGGGGCGAGACAATACATAAAGAAGAATTCCCCCCTGAGGAAAGTAGAAGTGCCCCCACATTCTAAGGGACTTTGGTAGGAGAGATGACAAGGACATGAGGTCCTAAGAATGTGTGGTTAGATCAGATGGCTCTAGCAAAGATATGGTGTGCAAAGCAGCCGGCTAGATGTTAGGACCCCTGTGACTTCCTGAAAGCATCTTAGTTGGTCATTCCCAGGTCATCCAACTCATATGAACAGCTATATCCATTCCTCTGGACAGAGAGCATGGAGGAGTGCAGCTCACCATCATTGTGAAGTAAGACACTGAACTGTAGTTTTTTTAATCATTTCTACTGGGAAGAGGCTTGGGGGAGGGAATGGTAATATTGAGGCAGGAGAGAGGAATGATAAAGTAGCATTGACATACAAATTGGGTGAAAGAGTCACTTCCTGACATTTAATTCTTCTGGGCTTCCAGTATCTGCCTGGGACCTGATTAATACCTGTTCTTATTCAAAAACGAGATGACGTCTGGATGGCCTGGGAATGTAGAGGCAGGAAATGAAACAACCTTGTTGTTTACTCAAGACTAACTGGGAACAGGGCCCTGTAAGATATCATGTACCACCCCTACATGGATGGATTGTCTGAGATTGTCTCAGAGATGGCTGAGATTGTCTACTATAGTAAATCAATGTGAAGAGAGCTAGCAGGACCAACAGAAAAAAAGCAGCATAATGACAATATGGAATGACAGCAGCATCTGTGCAGAACCGGCTCTCCTTATGCATGCCCCAGACACAAGCATCCTCTGCATGGCTGTGCTCCACACTTGGTCATACATGTTCACTATATGTGTGCCCCTCTGTGAGTAGGATGGCAAGTTCAGTATAAGTCAGCAGCATGTGGTGGAAGTTTTCAACTGAAATTGAAATAATGGGCAGCTTTAGGGCAGACCTGGCTTCTCAGATTATTATATTGGAATATTGTGTTGAGTTATAGGCGCTGTGGTTTAAGAAAGACACTGAAAATTAATAAAGACATTCTCTAGACTGAGATAATCTAGAATGGGATAGCCATCATGTTGAGGTGCCTTAACTCCATGGTGTATGACATGATCTGAAGAAGCTGGGAAGGTTTATACTGGAGAAGACTCCAGGTTGACATGGTGGTTGTCTTTAAGTGTCTCCTCTGCTTGGCCTGGGGAGGGCAGGTAAGAGCCAGAGTAATGGGGAGAAATTGTGAAGAGGCAGAATTTATCTTGTTGTTGGGTAGGATGCCCCCAAATTTAGAGCTGTCCAAATGCAGAATGTGCTGCCTGGAGAGGTGAGGCCTTCTCCATCCTTTGATGTGTTTGAGTAAAGCCTAGATGACAACTTATCAGATATGTAATCGGGGATTCCTTTTTAGTGTGAATTTTATTTGACTGCAATTTTCCAATTTTGTCATTCTCTATGAGTACCCAGCCACATCTTCATATGTGTTAGCCCCTCCACCGATATTCCCTAGGAATTTCCTTTGCTGTGACTTATATTGTATATTTTTGTGAGAATTGGTATCTCAGGTTTATGGTGTGAAAGAGAAGGGGAATTTGTTACTATTTTTCTTGCAATATTATTTCATTAAGTATCTTACACGATGTCCTCTAACTAGAAAAAAAGCAAATGTATTAGACAACCCCCTTGTCATTCCTTTCGTAAGACATTCCATCTCCAGGGCATTTTCAGTGGCTGTCCCAAATTCTTTGGATCCTCTCCACCTCTAGACTTCCCCGCTAAAGTCCCATCTTCTACAGGGAACCTTTTCTAATCCACTCAATCATTCCTACTGCTTTCACTCTGTTGGTTATCTCCACCTTATCCTGTACATAGCTTGTTTGCACATATATGATTTCATGTTTTCTGCCACATTGAACTGTGAGCTCCTTGAAAGCAGTAACTCTCTTTTGTCTTTCTTTGTATCCCTGGAGCCGCACAGTGCCTGCTATATTATGAGAGCATAATAAATGCTTATTGACCAACTGATTGAGACTGGGCTTATCAGTGATGAGACTAAGTGAATTCCCTTGAAGGAACTGAGGCTTAGAGAAGTTCAGTGACTTGCCCAGAGCCATAGGGCTATTAAGTATGTGAGCTGGATTTGAATTCAGGTTGTCCTGGCTCCAAGTCACTATGTCTATATTCATTATGCTCTGAAACTGCCACAGATTTAGACTTTAAAGATTCTTTGTAGTCATTGAGCACCTACTATAGATGATGGATTTGAGGCCCAGGCAGGTTAATTGATTTGTCCAAGATCACATAACACACAGCTAATAAGTTACAAAGCCAGGATTTGAAACCTAGGTCCTCTAATACAAATCTAATGCTTTCTCCTGCTGTACCACTCTCTCACTAAAGTCATGTTTGAGCATTGTGAACACTGTGCTTGTCAAAGGAAATTGTTGCACTAATCTGTCCTTTATTTTAATAACAAAAACTCTTTTCTGTATTGTCAGGGTAAGAGCCAGAGAGGTGAGAGATCACTCAAAGGATATCAATGTCTTTTGTCATGTAAGAGACTGACATGCAGGCTATACCAGGAGCTTAGGACAGCTTAGGTTACCAACTGTTCCTTTCCTCACCATCACTGTCTCACAGATCTTCCTTGGTATCCTCATGTGTTCCATAGTTTTCTTTCTCAGTCAGAGTGATTACTTTTGTTTTCCTTTTTATTATAATGAAATGAGAAGAGTTCACTCTCTCTTTCCTTTTTATAGTACTTACCTTGGAGAGTTCATGCCCTGAAATTTGAGTAGCATTTGGTCTCAAATGATCTATGTAAAGTTATAGAAGAGAAAGAAAAGACATAAGGAAAACTGAATTAATTTCACCAAATTTTAATTAAGTGCTTACCACTTGTAAGTCACTCGGTAGGTGCAGATTGTCCTAATTACCATGAAGTAATTGGAATACCTATTTTTCTTCCAGGAAAAATATGATGCGGAAGTCTTCTATGAGATGATTCTTCATGGTAAACAAATGGTGCTTCATCTGAGAAAGACAGAGTGAGTGGCAGAATATTGAAGATGATAAGGATGCTTACATGGGATTATCCAAATTTTGCTGAATGTCTCTCCGGCAAACAAATATCCCAAATCTTCCTTTCTATTAGGAAAATTTTCTTTGTTGTTGATTCAGAGATTTGTAGAATCTCACGTTACCAGTTATCCAGTCTGATCTGTGTGTGGCCAGTCTTGTGCTCTATATCAGACCAGGTTGGACTTGAAAACCTCAGCAGTTGTAGGGGATGGGGGTACCCTGTAGGTCCTATAGCATCCAATTCTATTTCTGGAGTGCTCTAATTAATAGAAAGGTTTTCCTGGCATCAAGTGTCCATTTCCATCTTTGCAATTCCCTCTTTCTCCCCCAGTGATCACCATTGCTTTTACTTCTTCCTTCTAAGGCCAATTAATCAACCAAGAAGCATTTCAGGATTAGAGATCATAAAGCTGTTGATCCAGGGCTAGAAGGGGCCTTAGAGGCCATTGAATCCAGTCTACACTGGAGGTGCAGAAGACTTCATTGTCTACTCAAGGTCACACAGCTAAGGTAGGATTTAGAGCTAGGTCCTTCTGACTACAAGTCCAGTACTCTATCCCCCATGCTGCAAGGCCCCTTTAAGTATCTACTACATGGCATTGAAGATACAAAGAAAAAAAATAGTGTTCTCTCCCTTAAATAGCTTACATGTATTCAACTGGGAAAAAATGATATGTACACATAGAAATAAATAGAATATATAGAAAAGTGATGGGGAGGACATTCACATCTAGATGAATCTGGAAGGGTGTTGCATAGGAAATGAATCTAGAGCTAAGCTTTGAAGGGATCTAGGGATTCTGAAAAGCTGAGGAGAGGAACATGTTCCAGACATGGAGGAAAACCTGCACAAAGACAGAAGAAGAGATTGAACGTCATGAATGATGAACAGAACAGTTTGACTAAAATCTAGAATGAGTGGCAAGAGGTAATGTGTAATATGTTAGCAAGGCAGGGCAAAACCAGGGTGTGAAGGGTTTGGGATGTTGATCGGAGAGATTTGGTTTTGACTCCAAAAGCAAAAGGGAGGCATTGCAGGTTTTTGAGCAGGGGACTGACAAAGTCGGACGTCTGCTTTAGAGATATCACTTCCACAGCTGTGCGGAGAATGGATCTGCAAGGGAAGAGGTGAAGAGGAGGAGAGAATCACATGGCTTATACCACACATTCTAGAAGACACACAGATAAGAACAAGGCAGTGTCTTACATAGAAAACACACTTGAGAGGTAAAGAGCAAAGTTCTAGGTTATGTTCAGATCAAAAGAGAAAAGGTCGCTATTGATGGGTAGCCAGGAAGACTTCACAGGGGAGGTATTTGTGTCAGGCCTTAAATAACATGCAGGGACATAATAGCAAAAAAGGAAGAGAGGATATTCCCAAAGGTAGGATCAGACAATATCATAGATCTAGATCTGGAATAGACTTTGGGTCTATTCCTCATCATTTTAAAGATGAGGAAACCGAGGCCCAGGGAGTTAAATTACTTTCAAGTGTCCAAGGCAGGGTTTGAACTCATCTCCCTGACTCCAAGTCTAGTGTATGCTAGTGTGTGAGTAAAGGAATGGAGACAAGAGAATGCAATTTATGTTCCCGAAAAGCCACCTAGTTTGACTGGAACCTAGGGAGAGAGAGAGAGAGAGAGAGAGAGAGAGAGAGAGAGAGAGAGAGAGAGAGAGAGGAGATTAGCCCCAAAAGATTGTATATCCACACACCCCAACCTGAACTCATCCTCTCTCTCTCTCTCTCTCTCCTCTCTCTCTCTCTCTCTCTCTCTCTCTCTCTCTCTCTCTTTTAGGCAATAGGGGTTTAGTGACTTGCCCAGGGTCACACAGCTAGTAAGTGTCAAGTGTTTGGTCTGAGGTTGGATTTGAACTCAGGTCCTCCTGACTTCAGGGCCGGTGCTCTATCCACTGCACCACCTAGCTGCCCCAATGGACTCATCCTCTTAGTAATAGGTAACATTTACATAGGGACTACTATATACCAGGCACTATTCCAAGCACTTCACAAATGTCTCATATGAGTCTCACAACAACCCTGGGAGGCAGGTGTCATTTTACAGATGAGGAAACTAAAGCAAACAGAGATTAAATGACTTGCACAAGGTCACACAGGTGGCAAGTCTCTGAGGCTGCATTTGAACTCATATCTTCCTGACTCTAGGCCCAGTGCTCTATCTGCTGTGCCACCTGACTGCTGACAAACCTTCCTTCCATAATCTTGTCTCCTTCCCTCCCTTCCAATCTTCTCCCTTTTTCTTGTAGGCACTGCCATCTGCTTAGGCACGCAGATGAAAAACCTCAATCGTGTGTCATTTTTGCCTCTCTCTTATCTCCTATTTCTAAACCATTGCTATATCTTGTCAATACTTCCCCTTCCTCATCCCTTTTATCTGTCCCCTCTTTTCCACTCTCATGATCATCAGCCCACCATGAGCTCTTGCAACAGAGTCTATTGATGGAACTACTCTAATTGTCTCCCAATACCGGGAGGTTTCCTTCCTAGTTCTGCCAGAATCAATGTCCCCCTGATACTTACATTACTCTCTCACATGTTACAAATCAGGCCCTTCCACCAGATCAGATTCAGGCATTATTATCCCCATTTTAAAGATTAGTTAATTGAGGTTCCAAGATGATGTTACCTAACCATCAAATTACAGGCTCCTCAGCCAATCACTTATACTTTCATCTCTTGAGAAGATTAGTCTACTTAAACTGCTCTTAAAACATTATGAGTTTCAGCATCCTCTCTGACAGGAAGAAAAAGGACTTCACAAAGTATTGAGAACAGATGGGGGAATACTCCCATGAAAGCCTTTCTTGTTGGTATTATAACAAGGAGTAATTATCTTTTTGTTCTCTTTTCAGGGACCTTTTATCCCCAAACTACAGTGAAACACATTACTCCCAAGGAGGGGAGGAGATCACCATGAATCCTCAGTTCATGGTAGGAGACACAGTGTGGGGGTAGAGTGTGTTATACTGGACCTGGTGAATTTGAATCTCATCTCCGATATTGGCCAGTTTTCTCCTTTTGGTTGTGTCATGGGTGAAATTCAACAAAGGTAGACTGAGGCAATTTACTTCAAGAAATAAAATAGTTTATTAACAGGGCACAAACCTGTTAATAAGGCAGGTTGATGGCTGCCTCAGTTTTAAGACAAAGAATTGTAGCTGCACCTCATTTTTATAAACATAGACCAAAGAACAAAGTAGGTGAAGGAAATAATGCAATTTAAGATTGGCAGTATCATGGGGGTGAGGGCATCAAGATTGGTTACTTTATTTTTTTTGTCTTGTTTTGTTTTTTGCTAGGCAATGAGGTTAATGCTTGCCCAGGGTCACACAGCTAGTATTGTGTGTCTGAGGCCAGATTTGAACTCAGGTTCTCCTGACTCCAGGGCCTGTACTCTATTTACTATGCCACCTAGCTGCAGCATGGATTGGTAACTTTAAAGGAAGTCATTTACACTCACTTGTGGGACCAAGACCCTCCCTGTCTTAGAGGAATGTTTTATGAATAGAAGGGACCCAGCTGCATCCTCAGAGTGCTTGAGAGTAGTCGATTCACTGGTGCCTGGGAATGAAATGAGACCAACTTTAATCAGACAATGGGACCAGATGTGGGACTAGATCAGCTTGTATGTCCTCAAGGATGACATACTCATGTCATGGAATTTCTTAGGACATGAAATTATGAGGGATAACAAGTTTCCTGGGCACAAAGTAATTTGCAGGTGGTGCTGTGATAATAATTCCTTTGAATTAAAGTGTTTTATGAGAGTCTTGAACCTCTAAACCTAGCTCAGAGTTTTTCTTTAAAAGTCATCAATAGGGAGAATAAACTTTTGTCTCTATGAAAAAGAGAGACAACTTTTTTATTTTTTTTATTTTTTAATTTTTTTCTTAAGGAAGACAACTTTTGAACTCATGAGCTTCTTTACTCAGGGACAAAGAAAAGGCTTGGGATTTTATACAAAAAACAGAATAAGGTTATAGCATAGAATAAATTGTGAAATGGAATCACATATGAAATACAGAATCAATATTTGGTTTCTCAGGCAAGAAAATTATCCTACCAAACTTTTAGTTTCTGCATCACAGAAGGGTAGACCATGATAACTGTACGGATTATTTCAGTTAGGCACCAACATTTTATTAATTGTCTGATGAGTGTCATTGTGCTAAATGCCTAGGATATGAAGAAAAAAGGGCTTTTCCCTCGAGGATCTTCTATTCTCTTGAGTTTTTGTGTGACAAATTCTTTGTAATATTCAAAGTTAGAAAAATTTGCAGAGTTAATTATTATGAAAACATGCTCGGTTAATAACGTTAGGGTAGCAAAAAAAAAAAAGAGGTTTCAACTCATTCTCCTGTGAAATCATCAGTCCCTGATGCCATCTTCAGGTTCTTTCCTCTGAACCCAAAAGCTTTATCTAGACCAGTGGTGGGGAACCTGTGGCCTCGAGGCCACTTGTGAAGGTTAGATACAGTCAAGAGGAAACACTTGAGGACCTAGAGGGCTACATATGACCCACCCTATACAACCACCCCAAATGACCAAACTCCACTGCTTTCTCTTCTCTAAAAGAAAGATTTTGGAGTGGATGCTCCAAGGAGGCAGCCCTGGCATAGGGGAAAGAACCTTGACACTGGAGTCACAGGACCCAGGTGCAATCTCTCTGCCTTTGATGATGATTACCTGTGTGACCTTGGCCAAGTCATTTAACTGAACTAGGTCTCAGTTTCCTCATCTGTAAAAGAAGGGATTGGACAATTTGACCTTTAAAAAGTTTATTACATATTGAAATCTATGATCCTGTGAAATTGCAATCACAAAGATAAAGTTAATTCAGAATCCAAGGCTGTGGGGCAGCTAGGTGGTGCAGTGGATAGAGCACCGGCCTTGTATTCAGGAGGACCTGAGTTCAGATTCGGCGTCACACGCATAACACTTACTAGCTGTGTGACCCTGGGCAAGTCACTTAACCCCATTGCCTAGCCAACAAAACAAAACAAACAAACAAAAAAACAACAATCCAAGGCTGGTTTATGCTACATGTAAAATTAGCAGGTATTTGTTACTATCATTGTGATTGAGTAAAGTTGAATTGAAATGTGGCCAAGAAAACCTTGTATATAATATTATAATATTTCTCTCCCTCTCTCTCTCTCTCTCTCCGTCTCTCTCTTTCTCTCTGTCATCTCTGGTAGGATCACTGTTATTACCAAGGGCATATTCTTCATGAAAAGGACTCTGCTGCTAGCATTAGTACTTGTGATGGCTTGAGGTAAGAACCAGATCTTCAATACTCCCTCTGGTGAATAAGCATACTTGATAACAAATAGTGAATCTGTTTGACATCTGATGGACCGGAGTGTGTTTAATATCCAATTAGAATAGACTACCTTGATTTGTGGGGGTGGGATAGTTCTGGTCTCTTATGGTTCCTGGAAATACAGACATTTCAGGAAAAAAAATCAATAAATTGATGTGTTATTCCTGGACACCATACCAGCACTATAGTAATGATTCATGGGCCTCCTTTATTCACCAATCTGTGAAAGTGAAAGGTTGATGCTATAGAGATAATGAGCATAGCCTGGTTTTGTAAAACTTGAGAAAACAAAGTTGAAGGGGGGAAAAAAAGCATTTTTCAGCAAGAGGCTGTAGATTGTCAGAGCTAGAAGGGATATGAAAGTTTTATAGGGAAACTTAGATCCAAAAAAGGGAAGTGACTCACCCAAGAACCCATGATAAGTAGAGGCTCAGCTGGAACTTGGACTCAATGCTTCTGACTCCCAGTATGGCACTCTTTCCACTATACGTATTACCTCTCAGCTCCTTCTTAAAGGGCACACTGAATTCAACTATCAAATGTCTTTGCCTTTGGGGAAGGAAAACCAGTCATCTGGGTCCCAAACTTACACTTGGCTTTAAGTTCTCATCATATAGAACCAAGGTACCAGTGGGTGCTATTGTGATTTTGAGAGGAAAGAAGGTACTAAAAAAGATGGCAAGAAAGGAATGTGATGTGATGAAAAGACTCTACTATCTAGTCACCTGTGTGACCTTCAGGAAGTTATTTAGCTACTCTGGGCCTCAGTTTCCTCATCTGTAAAATGAGAGGGTTAGATGGCATGATTTGCCAAATAAATTCTTTCTAGCTCTAAATTTATGTTCCTATGAATGGTAGGAAGTTAGAGCTGGGCATTCGGGATTTCCTTTTCTTCTTCTGTGGTCACTTCATGTTGTGCCAGAGAAAAGACAGAATTAGGGGTGGCATCCAGGCTTCCGCCATTGAGCCTTCAGAAAGAACTGACTCAGCATCCTGGCCTGGCTGGGAGTTGGTTTTTTTTTTTTAAGAAGAACATTATTTCTGAGGCATCTAGGTGGTACTGGCACCTGAAGTCAGGAGGACCTGAGTTCAAATCCGGCCTCAGACACTTACTAGCTGTGTGACCCTGGGCTAGTCACTTAACCCTGATGCCTCATTTAAAAAAAAAAAACACGTTTCCCACATCTTCCCTACTCAACTACTGCATCTGGAGTCATAGTTTCCCCATGTTATTACATATGATTCCTTTTGAGTTGAAGCAATCAGAACTCCACGAATAGAATATGGTCACCTGTCCACAATCCCTAGGCAGACAGTCCGCATTCTCATGCTCCACAGGGGATACTTCAGGAAGCATGATCAAAGGTATCTCATCGAACCTCTAGAGCACTCTGATCAGGGAGAGCACGCCATCTTCAAATATGACCACAAGACCCAAGACACAAGCAATGGGAGCTGTGTGGTGGACAACTTCTCCAAGGCAGATGCCATCACTCAGGCCCCCAGGTCTGGCCTCAGTTTAGAAGTGAGTAGGCTTCTTAGCTTTTTATTTGTTTGCTTGTTTTGCTAATTCACAACACTTAGCACAGTGCCTGGCATATAGTAGACACTAAATTGTTGTTATCAACTTTCATGGTGGAAAATTATGTGTTTTATACCACAATCCAGAGAAATAAGGTGAAATACGATGGGGGGGAGAGAAAAAGACAGACAGAGAGAGACAGAGAGACAGAGAGAGAGACAGAGGGAGACAATGACAGAGACAGACAGACACACAGAGAGACAGAGAGATAGAGAGGAGCAAGACAGAAACAAGAGAGAGAGAAAGAAGAGAGAAGCAGGGAAAGACAAAGAGAAATAGATGAAGAGAGAGAAAGGGATAGACAAAAGGAATAAGAGAGAAAAAGAGAGAGGAGAGAGTGGTAAGAGGTAAGAAAACAATTGAATAAGAGCAACGGAGGAAAAAGCTAAAGATAAGAGAAAGTGAAAACCAGGAGAATGAGGAGAGAGATAAAAAGAAAAATAGGTAAGACTGAGGGAGAGGGAGATAGACAGGAGAGAAAAAAGTATAGTAAGGAGACAAAGAGAGAGAGACAGAGACAGAGACAGACAGACAGAAAAAAGAGACAGAGAAAGAGATATGAAGAGTCAGAAAAGAGTTGCATTTGTATTGTAGGTATTACTCTTAACTTCTTTAGCCAAGCCCCTCTCAGATTCCATTGCTTTATCTATGAAGTATTAATTAACAGATCTCTCCATATTGTTGTGGGATTATTCAGATGAAAGTCATTGGCAAGAAGGGCCATATTAACAGTTTCCTTTTAATCTGCCCCAAAGATGCAAATGTACTTAAAAGAAAAGAAGTATATTGAACTCTTCATTGTTGCTGATCATGCCTTGGTAAGTTTCCAGAGGAATGGCCTTCGGTCATCCAAAAGTTCAATAAATGCCCTTTTACCTCTTGGAGATGGTACAGGGTCCTGGAGTGGGTTACCTTGGAGCTTTATCTGAAGGGCTCCAACCTGAGCTCCACTGAGACGGTCTCTGCAATGGGTGTTGAATCTGTTTTTAGGGCTCTGTAGTACTGTAGGATTAGGAGCTGGAACAATAATGAAAAATAACAATGCACTTATGGAGGATTGTGAGTTTTACAAAGTGCTCTTACAACACTGAGAACACTGGCCACCCAGGTAGAAGCAATGTCAGTCAGTAATGAGGTCAGACACTGTTGCAGAGGAGTGAGAAGGGTGTGGGAGTTAAGAAACTAGAAGTAACAAATAGTCCTCCTCTGCCCCTCCCCTTGGACTTTGCTAAGAGATGAGAGACCTATGCACTATGGCACCACCTAGCTGCCCCAGGAATTTAAACTAGAATTTAAATAGCTGTAAATTCATGTTGTAGAAGGATTCTTTTTCAAATATACATAGCATTATGTGATGTTTAAGGAGCCGATGACTCTTTCATTCCTGACTCTAGGACCAGACTTTCTTCACGAACTGACTAAAAGTCATGATAAAAGGAAGAAAAAGACCTTTTTTTTTCTTCCATGATTGCTTTCGAATCTTTTCTTAGCTATAGGCATGAATGGAACGTTACCTGCCTCAATGGAGGAAACACCCACATTGATAAGGTCCCAGAGCCACTGTTGTATTGGGTCATCTCAGAATTTATAAGCTCTTTTCTAGAGCTTTTCTCTTTGTGTCTAACAGAGGCTTCCCAAAATTGTATTTCCAGTACCGAAGACATAACCATGTGCAGAAATGGCTGCGTACCCGGATTTTCAGCATGGTCAATTTTGTCAACATGGTAAGATGCATTGCAGTCTGACAGAAGTTCAAGTGCCACTGGACAGACTTTTCAGCCTAGGTCCTGCATTTTCTCGAGCAGTGCTGAGGAAGGAGCACAAACCACACAAACCGAGACAAATTCTGCTTGTTATTTTTATCATAAGTTATTTATCATAGCTACCTCAGGCAACTCCCTGGGACCAGATGGGTTGCAAATGGGCTTAATAAAGGAATCTTCTATTCCAGGAATCCCCAGGTTTCCAAAATCAAATTCTTCCTTTATTTCCCTACCTAAATGAAAACATGCTGATTCAGAATAGTTTGCCAAGTTCAGTCCTCACAACAGCAAGATGAGGTGTCACAAGTATGATTATCGTAATTTTGTTGTTCAGTCATTTTAGTTTCTTCCTGTCCCCATTTGGGGTTTTCTTGGCAAAGATACTTGAGTGATTTACCATTTCCTTCTCCAGCCCCTTTTACAGAGGAGGAAATTGAGGCAAAGAAGGTTAAGTGACTTGTCCAGGGTCACACAGCTAGGAAGTGTCTGAGGCCAGATTTAAACTCAGATCTTCCTGACTGTAGGCCTGGCACTCTATCCACTGTGCCACCATTACTGAATTTTACAGATGAGGAAATTATTGCTCAATCAATTAATCAACAAGTAATTATTAAGCATGAACAATATGTCCCTCTGATTCACAATTGATCATTTAGCATATATTGATCACCTACTGCATACTAGGCACTGTGACAAAAAAAAACTGGACCAGTGCTTGCCGTCACAGAACTTGAATTCTACTGGGAGAGAGAACATGTACATGTACCAGCTGAAGGAGAATTAATGACTAGATTTGTGATTTCACTGGTTTGGAGGGAACTCCCAGGCAAAGAAAGCTCCTTTACCAGTGCTGTCGTCACATTCTCTATAATACACAGTCGTAGAGAGTTTCCTGGCTCATTGAGAGGTGTAGTAACCTGCCTAGGGTTTCACAGTCAGTATGTGTGAGAAGCAAGACTTCCACCCAGGCCTCCCTGGTTTTGAGATCAGCTCACTGACCTTATACGATGCTCTTTCTCATATATAAGAATATACAGAAGAAATGAAGATCACACACACACACACACACACACACACACATACACACACACACGCACGCATACATGGGCAGCTAGGTAGTGCGGTGGATGGAGTTCTGGTCCTGGAGTCAGAAAGACTCATTTTTCTGAATTAAATCCATCCTCAGTTACTTACTAGCTGTGTGACCCTGGGCAAGTCACTTTACCCTGTTTGCCTCAGTTTCCTCATCTGTAAAATGAGCTGCAGAATGAAATGACAAGCCACTTTGCCAAGAAAAACCCCAATGAGCTCCAAAGAGTCAGATACAACTGAACAACAACTACCCCCAGGCTTCAACTACTGCTTTGTCTACACTCTTTTCCCTTCCCATTCTTTATCCCTCAGTGAATTGGTCCAAATCTACACTGTTCTGTACTCCTGAATCTCTTCTTCCTTTGCTCTACTGCCAGTCACCCCTTGCCAAAATGAAACCCTGGTGTATTCCACCATCTGCTTCTTCTCTTCCTACTCAGGTTCTGCTTCACAGAGCTGAAGAAATTTCCCATGGAACTGTGCAGTCTAGGCCCACTACAGCTGCCTACTATGGATTCAGTAAACACCTCTGTGATGAGGATTCTTAAATTGATTTGTCCTGCCCTAATCTTCTTCCTGTCCTCTAGTCTCACATCTCCAACTGTTTATTGGACATGTTGAACTGCATGCCCTGTAGACATCTGAAATTCAACAAGTATAGAAATAAACATCTCCTGTGGAAGGCCTTCTGCTCTTCCTAACTTCCATATTACTACTGAGGGCACCACCATCTTCCCAGTCACCCAGGCTTGGAATTCTCAGTGTCATCCTCAGCTCCTCACTCTTTCAACCCTGCCCCCACTCTATATTCAACCTATAGCCAAGGCCTGGTGATTTTCCTTTTATAACACCTTTTGAACATACCCTCTTTTCTGCTGTTACACGACCACCATCCATATCACCTCATGGCTAGACTATTGCAATAGTCTTTCCTCACTCCAGTCTCTCCTCCCCTCACCTCTCAAAATGATCGTAAAACTTAGGTCTGACCCTGCCACACACCTACTCAATAAACTCCAATAGTTTTCTCTCTCTTTCTCTCTCTCCTACAATAGAAATGGAAAATCCGCTGTTTGGTGGTCAAAGACCTTCATGACCATCTCACCTTCACACACATCTCCAGTCTTCTTAAACCTTACACTGCCTTCCCCCTACCTAAACACACTTGCATCTTCTCTGTGGCCTCTCCTATTCCTCAGAAGGAGACTTGATCTACATGGGGATGCTCTCCCTCTTCTTTTCCACCAGCTGGCTTCATTCAAGTGCCACATAAAATGCTCTCTCCTACAGGAAGCCTTTCCCAGTCCCCTTTAAATCTAGCACCTTCCCTCTATCGATTATTTCCAAGTTATCCAACATATAGTTAGCTTATACATATTTGCTTGCATACTGACTCCCTTATTAGACGATAAGCTCCTCATTTATTGTTGTTTTAGTTGTGTTCAACTCTTCTTGACCCCATTTGGGGGTTCCTTGGCAAAGATACTGGAGTGGTTTGCTTCTCCAGCTCATTTTACAAATGAGGAAACTGAGGCAAACAGGGTTCAGTGACTTGCCCAGGGTCATACAGCTAGTAAATATCTGAGGCTGCATTTGAACTCAGGAAGATGAGTCTTCCTGACTCCAGAGCCGGCACTCTGTGCACGATAGTGCCACCTAGCTTCCTCTAGGAGATCCTCTAGATCAGAGACTATTTTTGCCTATTTTTGTATTCCCAGTGCTTGGAACATATTAGGTGACATATACATACGTACATATACATATACATGGATATGCATGTGTATATACATATATATATGTATATATATATATATATATATACATACATATACACATAGACATACACACACACACACACACACACACACACACACATAATCTCTTCCCATTATAAAGTAAGCTTCTTGGGGATGGCACTGCCTTGCTTGTCTATTTGTTGTCCTTAGAACTTAGCACAGTGTCTGAAACCTTAGAAACATTTAATAACTGCTTTATCATATAATATCATACTATGTGCAAGATGCTGTGCTAAACTCGAGGAATAAACATAGGAAGCATGTAGGATAGTACCTACCCACAAAGAGCTTACATTCCAATGGGAAGAGGTAACATATAAAGTAGAGCTGCAAGAGGAAGAGGGGCTAGTTTCCACAGAAGTGGGGTATAGAGATGGCCCAGAAGGAGTTTGCAGGTCCTGGTAAAAGCACTGGAGAATACTAAAATTGGTAACTATGGATTTTCTTTTCTTTAAAAAATCTTTGATTCCAAAGAATATAATGCATTTTAGGTCAAGGAATATTTTGCCTTTGTCCTTATGTACTTCACATTTAGCTTAGTGATTAAAGGAAATTAGTAAATGTCAAAAAAAGGGAGGAAGGAAGGAAAAAAGGAGGGAGGGAGGGAAGGCACGAAAGTGTTTTTTTTTCCTTTGGACAGCTTTATAAGACCTTGAATACTCGAGTGATCTTGGTTGGTCTTGAAATGTGGACAAACGGAGATAAAATAGAAGTCAATTCAAACCTGGGTACCACCCTCCTTTACTTTGGTGGCTGGCAGGAGACAACCTTGAAAAAACGAAAGAATTTTGATCATGCTCTGCTACTCAGGTAGGTGATCCTCCTCCTCTCTGCTATTGGACAGGACATCCATCGGCTGGGAGACTTTCCCCTCTGCTCTGCAGACAAAGGCCTCTGGGAGGGAATTCATTTGGATTTGTTGGAGGTGGGAGGAGTGTATGGTTTAACACAGTACATTGAATCACAGTAAATTTCCCAATGTTCTCTTTTGTTATTTTTAGGAAAGCATTTTTTTTTCCTTCGCAATTCTAATGCATAATAGATAAAATGAAGCTGACATTGGAATTTGTCTTACTTTGGCCAAGCGATACAAGAAGGAAAAAATGCCTCTGAATTTCCCTTATCTCTCTCTCAATGCCTCTCCTCTCTCCACTGATGTTATCTGTGGCCTGTGCTCATTCTCTGGCCATGAGGATCCCCATGACCCAGCCCCTGTTAGGCTTGCCTCTACTTGGACAGCACCTGGGAGCCACAGATCTGGATGGAGTCTTTGACACCATCCAATCAAAACTCATCATACAAACGAAGACCCTCAGTCTAAGGGGGTGCAAAGGATTTATCCAAGGTCACATAGCTAGTAAGCATCAAAATAGGGAACTTGAAGCCAGATCTATGGACTCCAAAGCTATTATTCTCACCAGTTTCTTAAAAGGAAGGGACAGAGGTAAGGAAGAAATATATTCCAGGCATGAGACATAACCTGGACAAAGACACAGAGGTGGGAGATGGGATGTCCTTCATGGGGAATGGCAAGCCAGCCAGCTGGGCTTGAAGTGGGAATCATTATTACCCCAACTTTACAGGGTCATTGTGAGGATCAAATCCTGTAAGACACGCAAAGCAGTTTGTAAAACAATACACTATTAAAATGTCTGTTGTTTTATATTATTATTCTTTTCACACCAACAACACTGATTTGAGAAATGGCTGACCTCTTGTCATCATGAAGAATGTATTTCTCTCTTGCTTACAGCGGAAACTGGCTCTCACAGACTGCTCAGGGAACAGCATTCCCTGGAGGGATGTGTGTGCCCTACCATTCCTCCAGTATTGTAAAGGTGAGTTCTATTTAAAGTGACCAAGTGTGGTTTGGAGCAAAGGTGAATTTTCTGTTTTGTAGGGAATCCCCTCAGGAAGAGGCATAGCATATATGTGGGCACTTCTTCCTAGTGGGCTGAACTAGGGACGATTAATGGATCTAATGTGCAGAGGCAGATTTGGGCTGCAAGTCAGAGGAGGAAGGTGGCATCATTTAGTGAATAGAGCATAGGTTTGGAGTCAGAAAAGAACTGGGTTTGAATCATGCCTCAGACTTGGGTTGTTCAGTCATTTTCAGTCATGTCTGACTCTTCATGACCCCATTCGAGGTTTTCTTGGCATAAAGCTGGAGTGATTTGCCATTTAATTCTCCAACTTATTTTACAGAAGAGGAAACTGAGGCAAACTCAATCAAATGACTTGCCCAGGGTCACTTAGCTAGTCGGTGTCTGAGGACAGATTTGAACTCAGGAAGAAGAGTCCTTCTGACTCTAGGCCTGGCGTTCTGTGCTCCATGCCTAGCTGCCCCAGGCACTTGTCCAACCTTACGCAAATTATCTTATGTATCTGAATCTTAGTATCTCTTCTGTAAAATGAGGAGGTTAGATTCAGTGATCTTTAAGGATCCTTGCAATTCTAAATATGTTACACCAATATGCTGTTGCAAATAAAATCCTAACTATTAGAACTAACACAAAGTACAATAGGTCATCCCCTTGAAGCAGTGAGCTGCCCATGATTAGAAGCTATGGAGCTGAGGCTGGAGGATTACTTATCAGGTATGGGCTATATTAAGTGACCTTTGTGGTTTCTTCCAGCTGAGAGCCTGTGAAATATCCCCCAAAGTAGAGTAGGCCCTATCCTTCTTTTCCTTGGCAAATATGGGATGGAAGTTTTATAGATGACTTTAATAAAGAGGGAGGGAGAAAAATAAAAAAGTAGTTAGAATAAGGATTGTCCAAAATAAACAAATGATCCCTAAAGTCAAAATATCAAGATTATAAAATGTTGCATGCCCATAAATGGTAATTATTTATAACTACTTTCTATGGGACTTGATCGCTGATGCAGCAAAGAGAGAAGCCGTCCTTCTTTCTGATGAGAAAATACAGTGTAAACAACTTCATACATCATGCTCAGACATCCAGACAAAGACTTTCCAGAAGGCTCCAGGCCTGCTGAATATTCCTGGGGGATCTTATTTGCTCCTATTTCTTCCCAGCCAAAGCACCCTTTTTGACTTGGATCTCATATTTTGGCATGTACTCTGTGGAAAATCTCCACTCTCAAACTTCACTACACAGATCCCTAGAGAAAATAAAGATGGAAAAAATGATTGTAAGCCACTGCTCAGTGTCAATTACACTATCTTGAACCCTTTCGACTTTAGCTTTCCAAATGAGTATGTCCAATGTGCAGCCATGTGAAGGGTTCATGGTGTTATTCATTTTTTTTTTCAATATGACATTTCATGAATGAAACTTTGGCATCATAGACATAGGATGACTTGGTCTAGGCTGTTGTCAGTATAATGTTTAGGCTAATCACCTAATGATGTGGCATCCACTGACCAGATTGCAGCACTTTCCTCTAAGGCAGTAGACTCAAAGGACCAACACTGGGCCGCTAGGTGACCTCATTTGGATCCATCTCAATGTGTTAAAACAGATATAACTTGAATGCCATTCTTAGACATTTGTTAACCAATATATAGCCAAGTCACCTGACCTGTGTATTAATCAGATAGCTCCCTAAGACTTATCAACCAAGTCATAGATAGGTTAAGTTCTGGTCCAGTGAAGAGAATGTGCATATAAAGAGAGGACTGTGCTTTATTTATCTTTATAAACTCCACAATGCCTTGCACATGATAGGGGCTCAGAATATATTTGGCAAAATTATATATAAAAATAAAAGGAGATCGGTGAGCTATTTGATACCACAGAGCTTTATGAATCCAAAAGAATACAATTATCATACTGAGTGGCCAAATTATAATATCATAGAATGTCAGAGCCGGACAGCCCCCAGAATACAGAATGTCAGAATTTGAAGGGACCTTAGAACAGAGCCTGTGAGAGTTGAGAGAGAACTTAGAACACAGGATAGAACTTTGGGAGACATTTTAGAACACAAAACAGAACTAATATTTTTTTTTTTTAGAAATCTGGTCCAATACCCTCATTTTACAAAGAAGGAATTAATGTTAAAGAATGTGTTTTAGGTCATGAAGATAGTTCAGGGATTCATAGATCATTAGAACTGAAAGATACTTTAGAACAAAGAATGTCAGAGTGTGGAGACACCTTAGAACAAAGAATGTCCAAGCTGGATGAGACTGGGAAAAGAGAACATTAGAGCTGGGAGATATCTTAAAGCAAAAAATGGTAGAGCTGGGAGGAACCTTAGAACAGAGCACGTAAAAAATTGGAAGGGCTGTGAAAACAGAGAATATCAGAGCTTACAACATAGCATGTCAAGAGTAGGAGTGACCTCGAAATATGAAATTTTTCAGGGAATCTTAGAAATGATCTAGTCAAACCTCCTCATTTTAAAAAGGAGGGAATTGAACTCCAGAGAGGAAGTCAGTTATCCAAGATCACTGGGCAGCAAGTGGCAGATCCAGAATAACTCCCCATGCCTCATGCCTTCTAGGCCAAGTCTCTGCTCTACCCCATTGTATACTAGATATTACTAATGTATGTATTGTGCCAGGATCACTTACATGATACCAACATGGTGGCTGACAAAATGGTGCACGAGCTGGCTCACAGCCTTGGAATGCGGCATGACACCTATCCCTGTACCTGTACCTATGGACGATGTGTGATGGATGGAGGAGGAAGGTGAGACTGCTGCTTTTGAGGGGGAGAGAGGAGGAGGAGAGGAACAAATGTGATTTTTCTCTAAGTAGCTTCAGATCTCAATTCTATTCTGTGCATCTTTGTTGCTGTCCTGAGCAAGAGAATGTCTCTTGTGTTTTTACACCCCAATTTGTGTTCTATTCATGAATAAATAGCTTGAGATAAGGTCCTACTCATAGAAATATGGCAATATGTAATTGAAATTTCCATATAATCAGTCATCAGGGTGATCTTTCAGAAAATCAGGATTATGGCCCATAGGCACAAGTCCCAATAAGTTTGGTCTTAGACCTGCCCCTAGCACAGTTTCCTACATTCCCAGCCTGATCCCAATGATTGAAGAGGACCAGTTGATTCCCAAGGTCTCTATAAACCAATGAGAACATGCAGAAGGTCTCTGTATTTCTGGACCAAAGCAGATGTCTTGGGAATGATGCTACCTTAAAAGGGATTCCCAGGAATTGTTCTGGAATTCTGGAGGGAACTTCAAGGGTTAGTCATGACCAAAATTGCCCTACCATCCAGGGCCTGGACCCCTTAATCAAAGGACACTAAGAGTTCAGAAAATTGTCATTCTGACATTAACTTTGGAATTCCAAGTATGAATCTAAGTGCCAATCTACTTATATTTACTAAACATCTGATAAGTTCCCATTGCAGATTTTTTTTTTCCCTGTGAGGTCACCATAGATGGATATTTTATGGCAACTGACCTCAACAAACTTTAACTCACTAGAGAAACCAAGCTAATGCTCATAAATCAATCAACTAATCAATTTAAAAGAATATATTCAGCATCTACTGAGTGTGAGGCACAGGGAGTACAAAGATAAAAATGAACTAGTGCCTTCTCTCAGGGTGCTTACGTTCTATAGGGAGGGCACCATGTATATGTCAGGATAGTCTCAAAATAGATACCAGGTGATTTGAGGAGGGGAGGATGCTATCAGCTGGGACGGGCATTTCTCAAGTAGAAGATGACATTCAAGCAGGTCTTGAAGAAGATAAGGGATGCTAAGGGATGTGTGTGAAGGCCTGGAAGAGGTTTTATGGAAGGAGGTGAGATCTGTCCTGTACCCCAAGGACAGTAAGCGATCAACAGAGAAGAGGATGAGGCCAGACACACTGAGAGTATCACATTGTTTGCCTCCCCCCATTTTGGCAAGCATGGTAAGAAGCTGTAGGGTATCCAGAGGAGTAGAACCAGGATGCTGAAAGACCTTGAACCCATGATATAGAAGAGGATCACGCAGCTAAAGGAATGGGCATGTTTGGTCTGGAGAAGAGAGAGATAAAGGGCATTATAGGGAGTATGCCAGGAACTTGAATATAAATACAAAACATCCAATAGGACCCCATGGAACAAACCGTCTTGGTTTAAATAGCCAAACATTTGTTTGCTTATCAATACATATAAAAGTTTAGTAAAAATAATTAGATTTTAGTGCTCCCCAAGGCTCTGTGCCCTTTTCCTTCTATTAAATACGAATATATCTTATCTATACATATATACACACATACACATACATACATAGGTATGTGTGTATACATATACATACACACACACACACACACACACTCTCACTTGGTGATCTTACTTACCCATGGATTAAATTAGCGTTCTACTCAAATGATTTTCACGTCTATAGTCCATCTATATTCTCTGTCTGAGATCTAGTCTCATCTCACCAATTGCCTTTTGGCCATCTTAAACTGATTATCCTGTAAGCATCTCAAATCAACATTTCCAAAACAAAACATTCTTCCCAGACCACATCTCTTCCTAAATTCTCTATTTGTCTAGAGGGCGCAGCCATTACACTCACTCAGACTTGTAGCTTCAATATTATCCTCACCTCTTTACTTTTGCCTTACATAGCCAATTCTTTGACTAGCCTTGCCATCTCTCCCTCCACTACATCTATCTTAGAAATCTCTTACTGTCCATCAACCGAGGCACCATGGCAATTCAGAACCTTGTCACCTCTTCCTTGGACTATTGTAAAAGTCTTCTCATTGGTCTTCTTGTCTCCACTGTACCTTCCACTCAGTTGCCAAAATGATTTTCCTAAGGTGTAGGTCTTCCTGTGGTACCCTGTTATCATTACTCTCCAGTGGTGGTTTCTTCCAAGAGCAAAAGTAAAGTCCTCTAGTATTTAAATCCCTTAAATCCCTGGCCCCTTCTAACCTTCCTAGGCTCCTTCTCCTTTCCTTCTCTATCATTAGAGTTATTTCCAAATGAGATTGGTTACCTCCAGAGGTAATGGGTTTGCCTCATTGGAAATCTTCAACCAAAGGCTGGATGGTCACTCCTGGGTATACTGTAGCTGAGCTTCCTTTTCCTACTGACTGACAGTGCATGTTTGAAGCACAGTTCCTAGGAGAAGGAGAAAGGACCAGCAGGAACAGCAGCAGTAGTAGTAGTAGTAGCAATAGTAGCAGCAGCAGCAGCAGTAGTAGTAACTGTTGCTAATATTCATTTAGCATTTGAAGATTTGCAAAGCCCTTTATGTGTGTTATCACACTTGATCCTTACAACTCTGGGAGATGGGTGCCATTGTTATCCTTATTTTATAGAAAAGGGGACCTTAAGGCTGGGACAGAGACATACACTGAGTGAGTGTCTGAGGCAGGCTTCAGTTAGGTCTTCCTGATTCCAATTCCGATGCTCTTACCTCCATACCACCTAGCTGCCTCAGCCTATCTCTCCTTTATATCTCTACTCGTATTATCACTTCTACCTACTTACCACTGGAATCTTAGACCATATCTGGAACCTCCCCGGGCTCTGAGAGGTCAGATTTGGCCTTATCTTGTTCAGGCCCATAATTTTTCACGGTCATTTCCAAAGCATACACAACCACACATCTTTCATGCCCCATTTATGCACTATCTTTGTCATTAGAATGTAATCTGCATACAGAGAATTTTGCTTGTTTTTATTTATATTTCTAGCAATTAGCTTAATGATTGGCATATAGTAAGCATTTAATCAATATTTTATTTATTATGTATCCATCTGTCTATTTTTATCAATCAATCTGTCTATCCATAGCAATCTATCTATCTATCTATCCATCTATCTATCTATCCATCCATATCCATCCATCCATTTATCCATCTTTTTTTTTTGTTAGGCAATGGGGTTAAGTGGCTTGCCCAGGGTCACACAGCTAATAAGTGTTATGTGTCTGAGATTGGATTTGAACTCAGGTCCTCCTGAGTCCAGTGCCGGTGCTCTATCCACTGTGCCACCTAGCTGCCCCACCATTTATCTATCTATCTATCTATCTATCTATCTATCTATCTATCTATCTATTTATCTATCCATCCATCCATCCATTTATCTATCTAATCTATCTATCTCTCTTCAGCAAAAAAACAAAACAAAACAAAACAATTCTGATTTTAGTACCAATAGAAAAAAAAATCAATGCCTTCTCAGTTAAGTCTTATGACAGGAAAGCACAAGGTTCTTCTTGGATGGGTGTGAGCTAAGTGAAAGGCATCCCTCACCCTCCTGACTGCAGAGGGCAGCTGAATTGGCCATCTCCCTCATCCTCACAGTGCTTGGCACTCCCTTTCACATCTCCACATCTTTGCGCTGGCCATGCCCATGCCTGGAACACATTCCCTCTGCTTCAAGGAATGCTGTTCTTCTTTAAGATGCAGCTCAGGTACCATTTTCTGCCTGAAGTTTTTCCTGATCCCCACAACTGCTGATGCCTCCCCACAACCACCATATACTACTCCATATGTTTTGTATTAAGATATAGCCATATAGATATATGCATATGTATACACATCATATACATGCAGACATACATATATGCACAAACACATTCATATATCCACAAACATGTACATACACCTGCATACATACTTATATACAAACACATATATAAGTATAAATATGCACACATGCAGATATACATAAATGTGCACTTGGCATCTTGCCCATTAGATTGTGAGCTTCTTGCTACTAGGAATTGTGTTATTTGTGCTTGCAACCCCAGTACCTACCACACTGGCTGTCACATAGTAAGTGCATCATAAATGCATGTTGATTGATTTGATTGGTTTCTAATATAGTATATGAAAGATCTATTTTTTGGCAAAAAAAACCACTTCTTTCAGAAGGATCTCAATGCAATTCTGCTGGGAGTCTCCAAGAGTTAGATCAGGAGTAGAAGAAGGCTTTTAGCATGTATTAGAGATGACTGTGTCCTTCTGGGGCATGCCATCAGCCCTGCAGCGCACCTTTCCATCTTCAGGGCTAATCTTTCTCTTGTTCTGCTTTCTCATCCCCAGCATCCCCTCCCAAGGATTCAGCAAATGCAACAGGAACCAATATCGTCAATATCTCCTGGATTACAAGCCCATGTGCATCCTTAACATTCCACTTTCTAAGGACATAGTTACACTCCCAAAGTGTGGGAACCATATATTAGAAGTGGGAGAGGAGTGTGATTGTGGCAGCTTGGAGGTACTTATGGGGAGTGGGTGCTTATTAATGAACAGTTTCAAAAGGAAGGCAGAAATTCATTAATCCTGACAAGTTAGCAAAGAAGTGGTGGTATTTAAATTAAAATGCAGCCTTAAAACTCACAGGAGCTCACGTCCAGCCCTGTGTTATCATCGATGAATCATGACTCATACCAATGGGGTGTTCTGGAGACCAGGAGCACTCCAGTTTCCAGGTTCCTAACACCTCAGTGGTGGAAAGGATCTTGGAGGTCATCTCGTCTAACCTCTAGCCCTATGCCAGAAACTTTGCTCTAGAAAAATAGCAGGAGGTCAAAAGCTATGAGCCAGGCACTGTGCTAATCACTAGGATACAAATACAAACAAAACAAGACAGTTACTGCCTTCAAGCATCTTAGCATTCCAACGGGGGAAGGCACCACATAAAAGGGAACCAAAGGGGTCCCCACAAGGGGCATGAAGGCAAAGTCCATGGAGCTGGAAGCACAGCTGGCAAGAAGAATAAAATATGATGGGCCTGGGCCCATCCAAAAAGTGGGAGAGGTGGGCTGACCTGGTACCAGGAGATTGCGAGGTGAGGAGGCTGCTGAGTCATGACAGTGACATCCCTAAAGAGAGAAGCATAGCACAGGAGGGAAATGAACATGGCAAATTGTCCTCCAGCCTCTGCTTGAAGACTCTTTGTGACAGGGGTGTGATTGCCTCCCAAAGCAACTATTTCCAGTCTTAAGCAGCTCTAGTAGTTAAAATATTCCTTGTTCTGTTGAGCTAAAAATTTGCCTCGGTGCTCCTTCTGTAATTACTCTAAATTGGCACCATGGGGCCAGGTAGAATCAGTGTACTCTCCATTTCGTTTAAGTACAGAGTACCCCAAAAGTCAGTGTAGAACAACACTGTACTAAGACTTTTGGATACCCTGGATTTAAGGTCAATATCATGTCCCTTCTGATCTTTCTCTAGGGAACAAATTCCCAGTTCCCAGGATCTCAGACACCCTTGTTTTGAGGCCTTTCCCCATCTGGCTATCCTAAGGAGAAAGCAGATTGTATTGCCGTGACAGGGTATTGGACTTGGAGTGAAAGACTTGAGTTCTAATTCCAAGATACTATCTACTTCCCAGCTGTGTGATGCTCTATTTGTATTTCCTTGGGCCAACAAGTATTTATAAAGTCACCTGCAAAATACAGAGTTTGGCCTTGAAAACCTTGAAGGTCCCTCTTAGCTCTGACTTTCTGATTTTGTGATCCAAATTCATTCCCTTCATAATTGTTATAATGAGCCTTTGTAGGAAGGATGTCCCTTTCCCCACCATAGTCCAAAGGGACAAGTATATGTGAAAAAAAGTCCATAAACCAGGTAAGAGACCCTTCAGGATCCATCCCTTGGTATAACTATAGTCACTTAATCTCCCCAGGCCTTAGTTTTTTCTCCTGTAAAATGAAGGGTTGGATAAGATAGCCTCTAAAGTCTCTTCTAGCTGTGGTCTTATAAAGTACATGAGAAAACTAAGGCTTTGTCACATGGTGTGAAATTCTAGAGGGACCCAATAATATTTGCAACTTTTTGGCAGAAAGATTAATAGTACTTAGCTGATTTATTAATTAAAATAAGAAGCTCCAAGGTAGTTTATCATTGATCTCAATAGAGACAAGCTACTTCCTTAACCCTCTGACAATCACCCTTCCCACATACAGTAGTCTCACTAGCCATCTAAAAAAAGTTATTCCTGGTCCTTGAATACTGGTTGTTGTCCTTCCTTCTCAGAGGACCAAAATGACATCACTGATCAGAGACAGCTAGGGGGCACCATTTTGCATAGAGTTCTGGGTCTGGAGGCAGGAAGACTGGAGTTCAAATCTAGCCTCAGACACTTACCAGCTATATGACCCTAGGCAAGTCACTCAACCTCTATCTGCCTCAGTTTCCCCAAATCTAAAGTGGGAATAATAATAGCACCTACCTCCCAAAGTTTTTATAAGGAACAAATGATATATTCACAAAATGCTTAACACAGTGCCTGGAACATAGTAGACATGATAGAAATGTTTATTCCCCTTCCAATTGTCCTTTCAAAGAATTGTTTTACAAAGGTCTTTAGTATGTATTGTAGACGGGAGAAATAGTGAACTGCGCAGAGACCAATATGTAATGTAACAGCTGTCCTTGTCCCATTTCTCTTCATGTCAAGGACTGTACCAATGTTTGCTGTGAAGCCAAGAAGTGTACACTGAAGCCTGGAAGTGCCTGTGGAGGGGGAGAATGTTGCGAGTCTTGTAAGGTAGGATGCCTTCTTCTGCCCAGCTGACTCCAGACAGACACATAGACCAGAAAGCAATACCTTTCCCTAATTGTTTCACTGATGTGGGATGTCAATAGATGTATCTGTTTTTTTTAAATTTATTTTACATAGGTTTTAGTTATATCTTTTTTTTGTTTATTTTTCAATATGCTTAGATTTTCCTTTCCTCCTTCTCTTTTTTATTCATCTTCCTCCCAAACACAGAGCCATCTGTGATGAGGACTCTTCAAAAAAAAAAAGAAACAAAGAGTGGGAAAACACTAGCAAAATCAATAAATGCATCCAAATAATATGACATTGGAATGAAGGGTCCACACCTGTGGACCCCTGATTATGCAAAGCAGCAGCTGGGAGGTACCATGGAGAAAGCCCTGAACTTGGAAATCTTCCTTGTGACGCTGGGTCAGTTATTGTAGCTTTCTCAGACTGTGTAAAAGGCATCATCACTACATGTACCTCACAGGTTGTTATGAACCTCAATGAAGAGAACAGAGGATAGAAAGTGCTTTGCAAACTCTCCAAATGCTAGCTATTGTTATTATTGTAGCTGTAGCCTAGTCAAGACGAGATGAGACAGAATAGGATACTACTGCAACTCCCATCAAAGCAAACACCACCACTGAGAACAACTCAGACATGCAGACATTCTAAGCCTTTCTCCTGACTCTTACAAATTAGGAATGCAAGCATTGCAATGTCTGCTAGGAGCCAACCTCTTTACTAAGCACTTGGGATACAAAGAAAGGCAAAAAGAGGCCCTACCCTCAAGGAACTCCCATTCTAATGAGGGAGACAACATTAAAATATGTTGTTTCAGTCCTGTCTGACTCTCCATGACCCAATTTGGGGTTTTCTTGGCAAGGATACTGGAGTGACTTGCCATTTCCTTCTCCAGTTCATTTTATAAATGAGGAAACTGAGGCAAACAAGGTTAAGTGACTTGCCCAAGGTCACACAGCTAGTAAGTGTCTGAAGACACATTTGACCTCATAAAGATGAATCTTCCTGATTGCAAGCTCAGTGCTCTATCCACTGTGCCACCCAGGTGCCTAGTAAATATAAATAGGTAAGTATGAATTAAAATAGATAAATACAAATTATAGACAGAGTAGATGGGAGGTGGCCTACACAGAAAGGCATCAGCAATGGAGGGGACTGGGAAAACCTACTGTAGTTAATTTCCTCTAACTGGTGGTCACTCAGTGAATTCTAGATGGTCACTTGTGGATATGATAGTGGGATTTCCTTTCCAGGGATAATTTGGATTAGAGGGTCTCTGAGCTTCCTTCCAGTTCTGAAATGTGATTCTCCAAAAGGTCCATAACTTCTATTACCATCCACTGAAGCAAAATCATCTCATTTCTCCTCATGTCCTGAGTTTTGCCTCACTGAATAAAGGTCATGTTGTAAGTCTTGATCTCCTTTTTTTCCTGCAGATTAAGAAAGCTGGGGCCCTGTGCAGAACAGCCAAAGATGAGTGTGATCTGCCCGAGGTGTGTGATGGCTTCTCCCCTAAGTGTCCTGTGGACCAATTCCAAGTGAATGGATTTCCTTGCCAAAACTCTGAAGGCTATTGTTTCATGGGGAAATGCCCCACTCGAGACAGTCAGTGTTCTGAGATGTTCAAAGATGGTAAGAGTCAACTAGGCATAATGCATGAAGAATGGAATCCCTGCCTTGGTCCTTTTAAAGGCTGGGAGGATCCTGGCTTTGGAGATTCTGATCATGTGTGACCACTCCTCCTTGCTAAAATTACCATGCAAAGAAATTATGCAGCTAGGTTTAGTGGATAGAAGAGCAAGGCTGAGAATGTTCAAGTCCCACTTCTGACACATACAGGCTGTGTGACCCTGGACCGACCGGTCACTTACTATCTCAGTGTCCTGAGGCAACTCTCTAAGACAATAAATGCCACAGTAGAAGTTAATCTGGTTTGGCAGAAGGAATTTTCTCACCAGGATATTCCCACACCAATGAAATCACACGTCCTGATCAAAATTAACTACGGAGTTCCATGGAATGAACACTGGCTTTGGAATCTAGAATTTCCAGATTCAAATCCAAAGTCTTCTGCTTAATAACCATGTATGGGAGAAAGGAGGAGGGAGAAAAGAATTTGTTAAGTGCCCAGCCTGTGCCAGGCACTGTGCTAAGCACTTTATAAATATTATCTCTTTTAATCACTTAACCCTCCGAGATAAGTGCTGTTGTTAACCCCATTTTACAATTGAGGAAACTGAGGCAAATGTGAAGAGACTTACCCATGGTCACAAAGTTAGTAAGTGTCTGAGGCTGGATTTGAACTCAGGTTTTTTTGGACTCTAGCTCTACTATGCTATCCACTGAGCTGCCCAGCTGTGTGACTTTGTACAAATCTTGGGCCTCAGTTTCTCATATTTAAAATAACTAGTCTCTAAAATCTCTTCCAGCTCTAAGCTGGAATCCCATGATGTATTGCCCCTACCTGAAACCTCATCAGGTGTTACACTGGTGGCCAAGGCCAAAGCCAGTGGCATGTCAGAGAAGCAAAAGTTTAGGCAGGTAGTCTAGGCTGCAAAAGCTTTGAAGGTATGTCTGTCATCACAGAACCAGTCCAGCTGGTGTCCAAGATGCTCAGCACCAGAAGGGTAGCTGCTGGAGCATGTTGGTGGGAATTGTGGGTTTTTTTTTTTAATCTAAGGCAATTCTTTAAATTAGAGATGGGGTAGGGTTGGTGGGGGAGGATACTCTCTGCATCAGATGGATTCAGGATTCCTTGAAGTATTGCATAGAACTGTCCAACTTAAGGTATCCTTTCTCAAGATATGTATACACATACACAATCGTGTGTGTCATTGAATTGTTTCAGTCATGTCCAACTATCTGTGACCCCATTCAGGTTTGTTTGTTTGTTTTGGCAAAGATACTGCAGTGGTTGCCATTTCCATCTCCAGCTCATTTTACAGATGAGGAAACTGAGGCAAACAGGGTTAAATGACTTGCCCAGGGTCACCCAGCTAGTAAGTATCAGAGGATAGAGATGTAAACTCAGGAAGACAAGTCTTCCTGATTCCAAGCCCAATGTTCTATTCACTGCACCATATTTAGATAGATAGATGTGTGTGTGTATGTATGTATATATGTGTGTGTGTATGTGTGTGTATGAGAGAGAGAGAGTGAGAGAGAGAGAGACATTTGAAAAAGTGCCCCTTTGGGCATGCTCACCATTAGTTTAGTATCCAATGATATTTTCACAATGGAATCTCCCTTATAGACTCATAGAGTTAGAACTGACAAGAATCTTAAAACTTCTCCAGCTCAGTTCCCGCATTGCAAAGATGTGCTATTACATCAAAGATTATCAATCTGGGAGAATTCTTAGGTTCCTTAGTATGTCAGAGCTGGGAGGGGCCTTAGAAACGGGAATGCCAGAAATGGGGGAAAGGCTTAGGAACAGGGAATGTCAATGATGACAGGGAAGCTAGATCACAGAATGTCAGGGCTGGGAGGGGATTTAGATCGAAGACTGCCTGAGATGAGAGAAAGTTAAACATATGGTTCTACACAGACAGAGCTAGGAGGACTTAAAACACACTTGGCCATCTCAGATATACTTCAGTCCTTCTGCCTCATTTTGCAGCTTAAGAAAGAGAACCAGAAATGGGCAATCATTTGTTCCAGATAACAGAGCTGGTAAAGAGCAGATCAGGGAAGGGCAGGGTTTTGAATGGAGGCCTTTTGATTCTACATCCCAAGTTCTTTCCATTCATATCAGTTTATTATGTAGAGAGAATCACATAATCACAAATGTGGAGCTGAAAGTAACCCTAGAGGTCATCTATTCCAACTTTGTCATTTCACAGATGAGAAAACTGAGGCCCAGAGCAGGAAAGCGACTTGTTCAAAGTCACATAGCAGAGGGAAGATTCAAGATAATCAGTGTTTGACAGTGTTTCCCTCCTTACACATCTTTATTAATGTCTTGCCTAGAAGTAATAAGTATAATTCTTCTATTTAGCAGTTATCTTATTGTTCCTTAGGCCAGTTTCTAGCTTCATTTCTTACAAACCACCCCAACACTTGTGGATTGATGGTGGCCAAGTTAATTACAGAACAGTCTAATGAATTTGAATCCCAAGACTGGAAAGTCCATGAAGGCCAGAACCATGTTGTATCTAAGCTTTGTATCTCCCCCAGTGTTCTGTACACAGTAGATACTTATGAAATGTTTTTTTTTTGAATGAACAACTGAATCCCCTGTTTTATCTCTTGTTGTTTTCTATGTCTTTCTTTGTTTCTACTTTACTCTTTTATCGGTTTCTCATCCATCTTCCCAGAGGCTAAAAGTGGTCATGATATCTGCTACGAAAAAAATAAAGGAGGACATAAATTCGGTTACTGCAAAAAGGTGGACAACAGATTTATTCCCTGCAGTGAAAAGTAAGTGTCCTGTGGATAGAAATCAGTGCCCACCAGCAACATATTCCAAGTCAGCCTGTTGATTGTCTCACAAGCAGAATGAGGTAGCAGCTATTGATTCATCCTACAGATGACAGCTGAGGGAGGAGGCCACCCTCTCTCCTGATAGTTAATGGAGAAGACTAGATTGTATTCATTGGCTGAAGGACACGTGAGGTAAAGAGGGAAGGGCCAGAGCACACAAGACACTTAAAGAGGAAAGGAAGAGACATGACAACAGAAGAGGAAAAGAGGAAAGGGCAAGGAAGAAGAAAAGAAAAAGAAAAATGGGAAAATGAAATGGTGATATAGGTTATAGCATTAGATCAACTTTAAAGTCCATATAATCCATCCCTCTCATATTATAATTCAGGAAAATAAGGCCCATCCAGGTGAAGTGACATATGCAAAGACACAAAATTAGTAAATGGCAGGGCTCCAATTCAAACCCTAGTCCTCTGACATCAAATTCAGCATTCTTTCCACTGTGCTGTGTTGTATGTAAAACATGTAGTCACCTAACCTTTCTGGGTCTCATTTGCTTCATCTGTAAAATGATGGTGTTAGACAAAAAGGGATCCCTTCCAGAGAACCACAGAGTGGTGGGAGCAGGAGAGAAAGAGGAAACAGCAGAGAGAAGAAGAAAATAGGAAAGGGTCCAGAAAATTAGGATTTGTGGTCCCTGATTCCAGATCTATCAAATATTGCTAAGAGACCTTTAGCGTACCTCCCAACTTCTGGATATCTACACGGCTTCATCTTGCAATTTGTCCTATGATTATTTTGGAGAAACTAGAGAGCAAATAAATATCATCCTGTGCCCTATAAGCCACTGCAGACTATTTTTTCTCCAAAGAATCAATTCCTTGCCTCCTCAGCTCTTGACTTTTTCTTTTCTGACACCTTTCCACACTGAGCTGATAAGACTAGAACTGGAACCTTGGTTTGAGGAACCGAGGAAGGACATCTGGGAAGGGCTAGTGGTCAACTAGCCTCTAGCAGTCGATTTTTGGTCCTGCCCCGGCTCCTATCTTCCCTATTTATATTAAAGGCACCACCATTTGTCCACTTACCTAGATCCCTTGCCTCATAAGTATCCTCAATGTTTTTCTCTAGTACACTTCTCATATCCAATTTGTTACCAAGTCTTATCTATTACATTTTTTTTTACCTCTCTCCAACCCATTCATCCCTATACTCACACTTTAACCACCTTAGCTTAATCCCTCATACCTTCTCTCCATGACTGGCCTATCTTTCCCCCCATTCTTTTTTTTTTCCTCTAATAATATCTTTGATGTCCCATCTCCCCAGTACCTCCCCTGAGCTATTATAAAGGCCTCCTAATTGTTCTTCCTGCTTCAGTCTCTTCCTTCCCCAATCTGTCCACATGGATATCAAGCTGACATTCCCAAAGCATGAGTATGACCATGTCAGCCCCATGCTAGAAATTTCAGTGGCTTGCCATTGATTTAAGAATAAAATAAAAACTTCTTTCTGACATTTAATGCCCTTCACAGTCTGACTCCAGCCTGTGTTTCCCACACACTCGCCTTTACACATTGAATCCTAGGCAAACTCTTTTATGGCTCTTCAACATACACTACTTCCCATTTTCCATCTATCTGTCTTTTCTGGGCTGCCTACCATGCCTGGAATCCTCTCCCTCCTCAAACCTATTTCTCGGAATTCTGACTCCTTTCATGTCTCTGCTGAAGTGTAACACCTTTCCAGAGACCTTTCTTGAATTCCCCTTATGCTAGCACTGCCTCTGTAAATCACCCTGCTTTTATTTTTTGTAGATCCTAAGTTTTCTTATCTATGAACGTGATGTACCAGGGTTTTTTTTTAAGTGAAAAAAGAAAATGACACCAAAGTGATTAAATTTTGCTGCTGATATATATTATAAAGACAACAGTGTGTTGGGTGGAGATAACATTTTTTTTGCTTACCTTCTGTTTTGAAACAAATTCATTTACGTGCTAAGCCAAAGAAGATATTGGTAGTATCTGTCTTAGGAATTTGGGAAGAGAATATTTCCCCTCTCCTCCCACTTCCCAAACCTAAGCTCCTTGAAGGCTGGGACTATTGGCTTTTGTCTTTGTATTGCTAGGGCTTAGCACAGAAGGTATTAAATTAAAGCTTGTTTACTGTTGTTGTTTTCATGACATCAGGGAGGTGATGCCATCATATGCAAGTGAATTGGATTTAAGTGACAGAGAGCTGTGCAAAGTCACCAGCCTCATTTTCTCCTCTGGAGCCATCTAGATCCAGCAGGCAGAAATAGATCAGGACAACTACAGATTGCCCAGAATGCAGTTGGTGACCTAGTTTTCTTCAAGCTAAGGTCTGACTGAGGTAATACCGGTTCAGTGATTGAGGCTTAATAAGAAATGAGGCAGAGAATGGCCTCTTTACCTAGTCAAAAAATATGACCTGGGAGGGAAAGACCCTCAGGGATTCTAGTCAAAACAGAAACAATTGCTATTTACATTCAGACTGATTGATGATATGAGTATGTTCATGGGTCTTTACAGAGATCTGAAATGTGGGAAGATATACTGCACTGGAGGCCAGTACTTTCCAACCTATGGGGAGGACAAAACCTACCACCTTAAGATTCCAGAGCAGAATATTACAGTGGAATGCAAAACATTCTTCCCATTCCAGTACAGAGAAGATCTAGGCATGGTTGTTTCAGGAACAAAATGTGGGGATGGAAAGGTGAGTTTAAAAGGTTTTTTTTTTTGCTTCCTCCCTCTTTTCCTCCCTTTTTTCCTCCCTTGTCTCCTCCCTCCCTCCTTCCCTTCCTCTCTTACCTTCCTTTTTCCTCCCTCCTTCCTTCCTTCCCTTCCTTTCCTCCCCACCTCCTGTCTCTTTTTTTCCCTTTGTATAAAATTTTAATGTGACTTGCCCATTTCTTTAAGGAAAAAAATCATAGAAAATTATAATTGACTCCAAAGGGACCTGTGCATTAAGAAGCAAGAGACACTAGAATTTGTCCTGTTCTGGCCAAGGTATCAAGCAAGCATTTCCATTGATGAAATCTCAGTTGCAACTGATAATAAAATGCACTTGTTATGAGTGTGCTTAGGCAGTACTGCAAAAAGTGGAGACTTTCTTTTTGAGTCAATCTCACAAATTAATTATATCTACTCATGCTCTGGAATTTCACTGAGGCGGGAGTTCTCTTCAGCAATGCAGATTGTAGCCTATGTGTGCCTGCTGATGCCATGCCCCACTATGTCTCAACTGAATTCAATGCAGAGTGTCCATCCATGGCCCTTCCTCTGGATTTCTTGACAATGTATGGAGCATTTGAATATTCATTAGTTAACCTTTGCTCTTACCACATCTCTATCTTCTTTTCCACACGTTGCTCTCTCTGAGGTCTTTGATAATATAATTCCTGTACCATTCTCCATTTTTTGCATGTTGCAAATGACTTAGAAACAACACACAACTCTCTGTTGTCCTTTACACTCAGCTCTAATCCTTTATAGGGCCATCCTTCTCTGTTAGCCTTAAAATCAATTTTCTCTAACAAGGAGAGTGTGAGAGTGGTGGCATGGTTGTTGGGCCAAGGGAGTGGATTCTTCACTTAGAGCCAGTAAGATTTGTCTTTGAATCTCCTTTCATTGTATTATTTTATGTATCAGTTCTTCCCATAGAGCACTCCTCTTGATTCTGGGCATTTTTATTGGCTGTCCCCCCACATCTAGAATTCTTTCCTCCTCATCTCTGCCCCCTGGCTTCCTGGTGTCTTTCAAGGAATTACTAAAATGCCACCCTCGACAGAAAGCCTTTCCCAATCCCCTTAATTCCACCAGCCGCCTTCTCTTGATAATTTCCTATTTATCTTGCGTACATCTTATTTGTACGTAGCTGCTTGCATGAGTGAACTCCGCGAGAGCAGGTACTTGCTGTGGCTTTTCTTTGTAACCCCAGCATTGAGCACGAGGCCTGACATGTGCCGTGGTTCAGTCGTTTCAGTCATGTCTGACTCTTCATGACACCATTTGGAGTGTTCTTGGCAAGGATACTAGACTAATTTGCCATTTCCTTCTCCAGCTCATTTCACAGATGAGGAAACTGAGGCAAACACGGTTAAGTACTTGCCCAGGATCACACAACTAGAATGGATCTGCAGTATGATTTGAACTCTGGTATTCCTGACCACAGGCCAGGTGCTTTATCTACTGCACCACCGAGCTACCCTGTCTGGCACACAGTAGATGTGTAATAAATGCATGTTGATTTTATCTTGAGAAGTGACGATTCCCTTAAGCCTCACTTTCTTCTCCCATAAAATGGAGATAATATTAATGGATGACTTTTATATTGTAGTAGACAAAAGAAGCTGGATATTCACAATAAGGATGCATGAACAGTAGGAATCTCAAAAGTATAGAGTAATGAAGACAGAGTCAGTCTTGGAATCAAGATCTGGGTTCAGTTCCTGTCTCTGACAAACTGGCTGTGTGATCCTGGACAAGTCATTTAATTTCTATTTGTCCCAGGCTACTTGCTAAGACTATAAGTGCTATAATGGTGGCAAGAGTTACTTTGCCAGAAGTTCCCTATTCCAGTGAAATTACTGGTCTGTACTCTTTCTCTTCCAAAACACCCACACCCATACCCATACACACATGTGCATGCTCAAAAGTCTGACACAGACACATGCATACACACCCCACATATCCTACATCACCTGTGAGTATAAACTGGGAAATACATGGGTATCTATGGGTATACATACATACATACACACACATACATATATACACACACACATATATACACACATATATGTATGTGGATGTATGCATGTATGTATACATATACACATGTATATATTGCTTTGTAAAACTTAAAGTATCATAGACATTGAAACAAACATACACACAAACATGTATATTGAATGTGAAATAGCATACCTATTAAGTTGTGAGAGAAGATTGATTTTGAGGCTAAAAGAACGAAGAATGTAGAGTGAAGAAATAGATTCATATGTGAAGACAGGATTACTATAAATGCATGTAGATGGATAGATAGCTAGACTTAGACAAATATGGATATGTGCATTTTGTACGTGTATATCGGCATATGCATATGTATATACGTGTGTGTGTGTGTGTGTGTGTGTGTGTGTGTGTGTGTGTATAGGCTTGATCTTAAAAATAAATAGTTATTTTTAATTGTCTGCATTCCCTCTGGAGCTTCCTAAGGCCTGTGTTTCCCTCCATTTTTCCTGCTTGTCAGTCTACCAGATAAATTGGAGAAAGGGAAGCCTAAGGGAGTCAAGAAAGCTGCGTTCTAGTCCCTGTTCTCCTGGGTGTTAATTAGTGCTGTCGAAGATCTGGAATTATTAGTAATTAGCTATATGGGGAGCATTTTTCTATGGCTAATTAAAGGACAAAGCACCTTTGTTCCTTGAATGATTTAACAGTCCCATTTTTTTTTTGGGGGGTGGGAAGGGAAGGAGATGTCTACTGGGTAGCTACAGGATAAGGCAGAAGTCAATTAACCTTCCTGGGGCTAGGACTAATTAAGGTTCTTTCTAGCTCTACCATTCTTTCATTTCATAATTCTTGTGACTGCTTGTAAAAAGGATACATACATACATACACACACACACACACACACACACACACACACACACACACATATAAACAGGAAAGGAGGAGTTTTCTGGTCCTGTTCAAATTGAAAACACCAAAACATCCAAATAATCTGGTTTTGTGGCTGATCGGTATGCATGATCAAGAGAGTGGCATGGGTTAGGTGGCTAGAGAAAAACAAATATCCTCCTTTAGCTTCTCTTTGGTTTTGGTTCAAGTCTTTGTGTACTAAACCAAATGGTATCTTTGGGGATACCTAAAAGTATTAGCAATATGGTGCTGTCTTCCACCAGGCCCAGCTTCAGAATGTTAATTCTGTTCTTCCATCTCATCTTGGAGACATACTATGTGATATAGGCTCTACCACAGTGGAAGTAAAGGGAGCAGTAGTAGCCAGGAAGCATAGACAGACTCAATTGGTTGCAGGCCAGGGAGTCTGAAACTTGGAGGACACAGCTCTGAAGCAAAGAGATTCACTAGTATTGGCTCAGAAACCCCACACCTCAGCAAAGCATCCATCTGCTGTGAGTTTCTTTCTTTCCCCTTTTTACAGATAAAAATAAAGTTTTGTTAAATGCCTGGGCCTCAAATACTGGACCTTAATGTAAATGGCAATTGGGCATAGATGTTCTTTGAAGATAATCTAGTAAATTTGTGATCTCACTGTGATCTCATCTGTTATCATATGACTGATGCAGTTCACAACCCAGCCAAGCTGTCCTGGCCTGTGCTACTCTGAGTCTACTTTCTCCTATCAATTTATACACATGCTGCCCTAAGTGTCCTGGGTAGGGGTCTTCATCCTATTTTTTTGGTATCACCAGGATACAAGTATTTGTTCAGCATCAAGCAAGTTCAAGATACAGGGCTCAGTGCTCCTAGGGGCACAAGAAATGTAACACATAGTCTACGGCTCCTGGAAGCAGATGGTCTAGGAAAAGATGCAGATCTCTTCAAAGAGTCTATAATCCAGTTGAGAAGGCAATACATATGTGAATGAAGAGGCCACCAATGAAGACTGCCTTTGGATATCGTTTCAAAAAGTCAATATTCAGAAAGGGGGAAATGTGGAGAATTGAACTGGACTTCTCTCCCCAACCCCATTAGCTAACTTTGTTATTCAGGTTCAAGTTTTCAAGAAACATAGGAAAAATAATTCACTAAAAATCCATTGAATGGTTTGCAAATGACAGTGACATTCTTACTCCTTTATAAAAGATACAAGAAAACATATGCTTTCCTTCATCCATCTCACTGTTACCTCATGGGTCCCAGGCTTTGTCTGGCCTGAGTACAGTAAGTATAATAAATACTGTTAACTAGTCTCTAGTGATCAATTCTAGCAATTGCCCAGACTTGTAGGCATTATGTAGATCTTTAGAGCTTTGAGTTTCCTCCTCCTTGCTCTGCCAAGGAAGACAGAGAGAATTATATACCACCCTCTAGAATGTCCCAAATCCTATTCCTGCTCAGAGATTTCAAACACAAGGATTGATAGAATGCCTTAGGAGTCAGAGTCTGAACTCATGGATATTTAACAGTATTAGCAACTGTGTCTATCCCAGAATCATGAAGAATCTAGGAGTCAGAAGGGACCCTATGACCTTTTAGTTCAACCCATACATGAAGAAAATCCCCATTACAATCTACTTTTTAAAAAATCGATGTTTCTGCTTGAAAACCTCAAAGGAGGAAGAATCCACACCCTCTAAAAGTGGCTCCTTCCACTTTTGGATACCTCTAATTGTTTGGAATGTTTTTTCTTGATATCAACCTAAAGCTCCTTTTCACTTTTCCTCTTCTGGATAAAGGGATCTGATGGAACACAATGAACATAATTAGCATCCTTTTCCTGCTCAAAGTGCCTGTGATGTGTTTATCTTTATGTATATTGTATCCACCAGATGACAATAAGCCACTTGAAGCCAATGGCCATTTTTCATTTCTCTCTTTACCCCCAATATCTAGTACAGTGCTTGGCACATATAGGTAAGTAATAAATATTTGTTGAATTACCTGAATTGAACAATTAAGTAGAGTACATATTTAATGAATCAGAGTGGCAAGATAATGCCTATTCACCTCTATCTATGACTTCTAGGTGTGCAAAAATGGTGAATGTATGAATATTGAGACAGTCTATGATGCCACCAATTGCTCTTCCCAGTGCCCAGGAAATGCTGTAAGAGTTAATTTTTTAATATTTTCATATGTTATAAATTGTCTAGTTTCTTTTGATCTCACCCCTGATCCTACACAGATCCAAGTCATTTTAAGGATATCATTGAATGGATCCAGAGTATAATCGAATAGCAGATGGCTAGAATTGATTTTTTTCCCCTTTTTTTTTTATTGTGGATATGTCGATATACATATACACAGAGTAGATTTTTTTTCTTATTATTTTCCTGGCCATGTCAAACCAAAAGCTGGTAACTTTATTATGCGTATTTGGTTTAAGAACCTCTGACATTTGCTCCTTAATTATCCCGCTTCTGTTACTTACAACCTTATGGAAGTCACTTAAGCTTTCTTTATCTTTACCTGTAAAATAATAGGGTTGCATTTAATGGCCTCTAGAGTACCGTCCACTTGTATAAATCTATAATCCTATGACTAAAGTCTCAGATTTGGAATGCATCCTATCCAGGAAAATGGCCCAAGTCCAGTGCAAAGACTAGCAGGTATCAAAACTAGTCAAAAGTCCTTAGAAGAATGTAACTTTCCAGTATTGATTATAATAAATCACTAGACACCTACAATTATTGGTGATTAAGAGCTCTCTCTCTCTCTCCTCTCTCTCTCTCTCTCTCTCCTCTCTCCCTCTCTCTCTCTCTCCCTCTCTCCCTCTCTCCCTCTCTCCCTCTCTCTCTCTCCCTCTCTCTCTGTCTCCCTCTCTCCCTCTCTCTCTCTCTCTCTCTCTCTCTCTCTCTCTCTCTCTCTCCTCTCTCTCTCTCTCTCCCTCTCTCTCTCTCTCTCTCTCTCTTCCCCCCCCCGTCTGTCTCTGTCTCTGTCTGTCTGCCTCTCTCTCTGTCTCTCCTCTTTTTAGGACCACTTAGTAAACCAACGACTTTCATTTTGGAAAAGGTTTAACACTGACCCACTTCTTTGCCTAATGTCAACATTACCTAAGACAGCCAGACTGTTGTCTTTGCCCATAAGTTATCAGACTACATCACTAAAGATTTGTGGTGTTTTGTTTTGTTCTGTTCTGTTTTGTTTTAAGAAATGATTTTCAAAATGCCATAATTTAGGTCTAAAGAAAATATGACAGTGCTTGCTAGACATTTGAACTATTATTAGCCTATCTGTTCCTCCAGGTATGTGATAGCCAACTCCAATGTCAATGTGAAGGGCTGACACATCCTAATTGTGAGGACACCACGTTTACTACCAGTGAGTGACATGGTTCACAATATACCATCAATATACAAAGGCTCATCTTTTTGAACACTGCTTCTTTATTCATCTGTTCCACTGCTACTTCTGCATATGCCTGAATTTACTCACTTGTAATTTTGGGGAGAAGGGGTAAGAGAGACAAGTTTTATTAAACAGAAGCAGCTAGATGGTTGCAATAAATAGAGCTTAGAGTCAGAATGACCTGAATTCAAATTCTGCCTCAGACATGTACTGGCTGTGTGACCCTGGACAAATCACTTAACCTCTGTCTGCCTTAGTTTCCTTATCTGTAAAATGGGGATAATAATAGTACCTACTTCCCAGAGCTGTTCTGAGGATAAAATGAACTAATATTTGCAAAGCGTTTTGTAAACCTTTATGTGCTATAAATTCTAGTTATTATTAATACATTAGTAATGTCCAGTATAACTCACAAGATACTTAATAATTATACTATTACAACCATAACATGGTTACATATTTAATAAATATTTATAATTAACAATGTAATTATAGTCATACTAATTTCTAGTGGTTCCTTTTGTATGGAATGTTGGTAAAATACAGAGGCTGTGAATTTGGAAGACAGGCTATGGGTTTGAATCTCAGGTGTAGCATTCACTATCTGTGAAACCCTGGGCCATTGAATATACCCCTCCCCCTGAGACTTAGTTCCTACATGAGTAAAATGAGGTCCCTACCAGCTTTAACTCCTCGATCCCTTGATATGTAGTATTCCATGATCCTAAATGTGCATGTGTAAGTTTGGTCAGCCATGCTGCTCTTCTGTATCTAAGATGTCTTTCCTTCCCCCTCTCCTACCAAGATTTTTAAAAAAAGTTTTAGAAATAATGTTCCTTGCTGGAATAATTCTAACTGAATCTGGCTTCAGTCCTCTGAGAAGTCACAATAAAATGGGTTTTATAGATACTCAGTTAATTGCTTCCAGGCAAAATTTTGCTTGAATTGTGTTTCTGCTAGGCATAATGGAAGGATGGGCATAGCCCCAGCTTCTAATGGAGACAAGTCTTGTGCAGGCTTTAGCTTCATTAGTAATAAAGCAAGGCTATTTCAAAAATGAAAGCACTTGAGACAAGAAGTGTCAGGGACAGAAGTCAGATAGGGCCAAGGACTTGCTTTGTTAATATTTTAGCTCTGCTAAGTTCTTGCAGAGTACTATTACCCATGCCCTCCATGTTGCAGATATCTCTATTGTGGCTGGAGTGCTGACCATGGTCCTGGCCACAGTTGTGATTGCTGTTTTGTTTGTCCATCGCCAAAAGGCCAGTAAGCAGAAGCAAGTTCATGGGTAAAGCACCTTCTTTTAGATGGGGTAGAGGGGAATGTCTGGGTCTGCTGTCAAACAACGTTCTAGACATGGGAAAGAGGGGTGAGTTCAAAGTACTTGAGTAAACAAAGCTAACATTTTCCTCCCGCAGCCCTCCCACCACCACACCTTCATTGGGCAATCAAGGGCACTCAAGTGAGGAGCCACCGCAGACCAGGACCGAGCCAGTTGTTTGCGCCCAAGATGTAAGGAATTTACTGGAAACTATGTCACTTGCCTAGCACTGTTCTAGGTGCTGTGACATATAAAGATATTATAATGTGCATTCCTTTCACACAAGAAACTTACAATGTTTAGTGTTGTTGTCGCCTGTAACTTTGTGTTTTATCTGAACCTTTAATTTCAAAAGTATAGAGACCTCCCAATGAGAAAACTTCCTTTATCAAAAGATGTTAGCACCTGTTCCACAATATATTCATCAGTTAACAAGTATTTATTAAATGCCTGCTATGTGCCAAGAAATTTATAGTTTTACAAACTTTCCAGTAGTCACTGAAAATTTGTGAATTGTCAATAATAATGGTGGTGGTGATGGTAGTAGTAGTAGTAGTAGTAGGAGGAGGAGGAGGAGGAGGAGGAGGAGGATGTAGTAGCAGTAGATGTAGTAGTAGTTGTATCTACTACTTGTAGTTGTAGTAGTAGTGGTAGTTGTAGTAGTAGTAGTGGTGATGGTGATGGTGGTGGTGGTAGTAGTAGTAATAGTAGGAGGAGGAGGAGGAGGAGTGGTGGTGGTAGTAGTAGTTAGAATTTGCATATACATTGATCTTCGCAATCACTTATCAGGCAGATGTTATTATTTTCCCCATTTTACAGATGATGAAACTGTAATTGAGAGCATTAAATGGGCAAGATCCCAAAGTCTCAGAGTTAGTATAAACTTAACCCCAAGGTCATCCCTCACTCCTGTATACTACTTTGGCTTAGTTAAATTCCAATGTACTTAAGGAGATACCTTTGTGAAGTGGATAGAGTGCTGGACTTAGAGTCAGGAAGACATGCATTCATATTATCCAATAAGACTTGAATTCTAATCCTGCCTCAAGCCATTTAATAGCTGTGTGACCCTAGTCAAGTCACTTAACTACCATTAGCCTTAGTTTTCTCATCTGGAAAATGGGAATAACAATAGCACCTACCTCACAGGGTTATTGTAAAGATACAATGAGATAACATCTGTAAAGTTCTCTGGAAACCTTAAAGTGTCATATAGATGTTCCAAGTCTTTGTGCAGTTTTAAGGTACGAAATACTTTTTTTAGTTACATTTATTTTATTTTTAGCTTAGGAATAAAACAAGCATTCTTATAACATAGCATAATAAAAAAGATGATAATACTTGAAATTGCCAATCTGCTATGTACAACTTGCTATTCCTTTTAAATATATAATAAACTTATTATGTAAATCGATTTTCCTCTTTTTCCCCTCCTCCCCACCCTAGAGATGGCTACCATTAGACATAAATATGTACATATGTAAAATCATTAAGTAAAATCATAAGGTACTAAATCTTAAAGCTGCACTAAGACTTTTGGGATGTCCTGTATGACTGTTATGATAATTATCATTGTTGTTGTTAGGTTGACTCAGGTACTTAGTAAGTCTGTAATCCTGGGAAACTCTCTGAACTTCAGTTCCCTTAAATTTAAAAAGGGGAAAAATAATAGCTCCTAGCTCAATGTTTTTTTTTTGTTTTGTTGTTTTGTTTTGTTGTTTTTGTTTTTTCGTTTTAGGATTGAATGAGATAACACATTTAAAAGCCTTTGCAAACACTATATAAATGTTAGCTATTTATAATAATGCTACTGCTGCTGCTGCTGCTGATTATTAGTATTATTATTAAGATAATTTATAAATACACGAAATGGGATGATATTATAAGGTATGAAAGTGGCCCTAGTTACTCAGTCAGTCAATAGACATTCCCTCCATGCTTACTATGTGCCAGGCACTGGCTGCTAAAGACGATCCCTGCCCTCAAGTATCTCATGCTCCAGTGAGGGAGAGAATAAGCAAGTAAGAGTGCACAAACAAGCTATATAGAGGAGAAATTGGAGATTAGCAACAGAAGGAAGAAAGAGCGGGAAAGGCTTCCTGTAAAAGGTGGAATTTGATCTGGGACCAGAAGGAAGCTGGGGAAGCTAGGAGGCAGAAATGAGGAAGAAGAGCAGAGGTGCTTGAAGACTCTGTCATTAGCGTGACAGCACTAGGAGCTCCTTCCACTATGAGCTGAAGATTCATTGAATATGGAGCCACCATCAGACTCAGTGTCTGCCCTCCCCCAGCCAGCCTCGCTAGGCTCAGGGAATCTCTTCACCAGGTTGGCCACAGAAAGATGTAATTTGGGGCGCAGTGACTCTCAAGACTTTCTCCTAAGGCACAGACGACTTGTGCTCTGGTGAGTGAAGGGGATACTCAGTAACAAAACAGCAGGTCATTAAATTGTTAAGTATCTGTGGTGCAATGGGCTGGTCAGTGTCACTCAGGGGGTAGCATGTGTATCACAAGCTCACCTGGTCTGTATTTGAGCTGAGAATGAAGCCAGATTTCCACATAACCATTTGCCCAACTGGGAGAACACAATGCAGAGGAATGCTACCGAGTTTATTTTTTTATCTATAAATTCTCTAGAGGGAGTTTTAGGGTTGAAGTCGGGGAATTTATTTTGTTGGTTTGGAAAGTTTTCACATTGCCTTGAATGTCCGCCGTAACCTGAGGTTACCCATCAACATTTTTTTCTTATCAGCAAAATGCTTCAGACACCTTTGAGGATATCCCTGCTGGTTATTCAAGTCCACAGTACATTACCATGGTAAGCAGCTTCCCTCTTCTCTTTGTAACATGAATTTCTTTGATTTCTGTGTGTCCTTAGGGCTTCTGTTATGTCCTTGCATTACCTTTGCAGGAGGTTTTCTTAAACCCAGATCAATATTGAGGGGTAAAGGCCAGGCGTTCTAGCCTAAAGAGCAAAGGATTAGGAATACAGGCTGTATCGATTTCAAGACTTTAGGGAGCATATGCACAACCAGAGGTTTCCCCATTGTTCACATTAGGATTCAGCAAAGGCAGGAATGATTGAGCTCAACCAACTGGAACCATCCATTAATTTTCTCCTGAATTCAATTTCATGAAAAATAGACATTTCAAGACAACAAGCCCAAACCAGAGAATTAGTTTGTTGTTATTGTTGTTTTCAATATTGGATCAGTGGAGATTAGTCATAGGAACATTTCAGCCCTCAATTCTGTGCTTTCAGAGTTCAATCTTTCTTACCTGACAATACAAATTACAGTTCAGAATTATGACCATGACACAATCAAAGCGCTGCAACCATCATCTAAGAAAGGCTTAGGTTTTTTCATCAGATTATCCTCTTTGAAGAACGTATTAATATGTATGTATGCATATGTATATATACATGCATGTATGTGTATATGTATGTATATACATTACATAGAGAGTATATGTGTGTGCATATGTATGTGATAATCATAATCAGTAAGAGTTGGTCTTAAGAAGGGGATCTCTGATTAATCCTCAGTTTACCAGAACAAATATGTGGACAAGAATCCCAGTTAATCTCTTAGATTTCCCACTGTGCCCTAACTTTTATCATTCCATATATTGATCTCAATTATTTTGGTAGGGAAAGAATGATTTTTATGGTGGGGAAAGAGGAGCTTGTGGAGACAGTGATGGGTCAATGAAGTCTAATACAATTTAACTGGTTTGCTTTAGAGATCAGCTGGTAAGGAATCCAGAGGAGCTCCAGTCTCCAACCAAAATGTTAGAATAGTAAGTATCTTGTACATGGAAGATGGCACCAGAGTTCCCTCCATCCATATTTCATGCTCATCAAACATTGATGGTTTGTTGATTGATATTTTCTAGCCATGGCTAGAGAGAGAAGGGCTGGAATTAGATATACTGATACAGAAAGGGTCCTGACATGATTCTGCCAGGCACTTATTAATACCAGAAAGTCCAAGGGTTGAAGCCATAATTCAACAGTGGCATTGAAAAAGAATCCTGACCAAGTGATAGAATCTACTGCTAATTATAGAATAAAGATAGATTGCTTTGTAAAGCATAACCTACTTTTTTTCTTTATTGATATTTACTTAAAGTATTCTTATGAATTATATTAAAGTGTCTTTCATCTTGTAATATAATATTCAGGCCTTTATGAGACATAATTACTGTAAATTTATAGAATTGACTTAATTAGATCGTGGTCTCTAGAGTAAAAAAGGAATTTGGACACCAAATATTCCAAACCACAAATTTTATAAAAAAAAGGAAACTGAGACCCAGAAAGGAGAAGGGACCTGGCCAAGGTCATACAAGTGAGACAGACTGGGTTGAAGCCCAAGCCTCCAACAAGAAGACTTTTTTTTTTCCCCATTATACTACACTATCCCTCACTGTGGGATTTCTTTCCTCTTCATGCTGGATTCAAAGATTCTTAGAAGTTCTAAAGGCCAATATTCAATTTAAGGCTCCTGAGTTAGCTACTCCTGCATTAGACTAATCTACTGGAGGCTGAAATGGGCAAAGAATTTCCAAATCCAAGTTGATCAGTACAGATCATGGGCCCACTCCCACAAATGTAGCTAATGTCTAGTAGAGCAAAAGCCTGGAGATACCCTTCCACATTCTGAAGGTGTCTATTTCCCTCTAACCCCTCTCTCTAGCCATAACCTTTACTAAGTTTCTGTATTCTTTTTAGCCACCTGCAAAACCAAGGATTCCTCCACCACCAATTCCTACCATGACACCACCTTTCTCTCCCCAGGTGAGTAGATGATTATGCTTATCCAATCTAATCCAAGCTAGTCGAGTTCAGTCCAGTCTAATCTAGTCCAGTCTAGTCCAATTCCATTCATTCCAGTTCAGACCAGTCCAATCCAGTTCAGTCCAGTCCAATTCAATCCAATTGAATTCAGTCCAGTTTAATCCCAGTCCAAACCAATCTAATTTGGTCCAAGCCATTCCAACTCAATAAATATTTATTAAGAGATTTATTAGGAACTATAATATGCAAGAGCAAAGAATTACGCTGCTGGGCTGGGAATGCAGAGACGTGTCAAAAAATAGTTACCCCTCTTCAAGGAACTTACATTGGCATGGGAGAGAAGGTATACAACATGTGTATAGACAAGCATATTACATAGTACTCTGGGAAGAGGAAACAGGGGTAAATTCCAACAAGAAAGCTTGGGATTCTAAGAGGCAAAGTTGAAGAGAGAATGTTAAGTGATGGAAAACAGGCATGATGCACAGCCTATGCAGAAGCAAAGATGAAGAAGATGAAGTTGAAAGTTTAGGGAACAACAAATTGGTCGGTTTGATGCAAATATAGGATAAGTTAAAGAAAGTAAGGTGTAATAACCCCAGAGAAGTAGCCTCAACCCAGATTGTAAAGGCGTTTGATGGAAAGTAGAGGAGTTGGTGTGTTCATCTCTGCCTCCTGGCTTTCCTTCAAGTCCTAGCTAAAATCCCACCTTCTACAGGAAGCCTTTCCTGGTCCCCCTTAATTTTAGCTCCTTCCCTTTATTGATCACCTCTAATTTATACTAAAATAGTTTATTTGTAAATAATTGTTTACATGTGGTGTCCCAATACCACCTCCAGCTCCTTGGGAGCAGGGACTGTTTTTTGTCTTTCTTTGTAACCCCATAGACCTTAGCCCCATTCCTGGCACATAGTAAGCCCTTACTGAATTTTTGATTTACTGACTGACTGGTTATCCTAGAGACCAGAGGAGGACAGGAAATCATTCTTAAGTCCAAGGACAGCTGCTTATCCATGGAGGAAGTTGGGGAGGAGAGTAAGCAAAATTATAGCCTTTAAAAACAAACAATCATATGGCATCTTAATAATGCTCCCTGAATTCAATCGGAATTGAACTGAATTGAATCTTGATACCATCTTCCACCACCTTTTTTTCTTTTACAAATGAGGAAGTTAAAGATCAGAGACACTAATTGACTTTATCAAAGTCCCAGGGCTACTAACTGAGGGATCAGGATTCCAACCCAAGGCCCTCTGATTCCAAGTTTGGTGCTTTTTATACCATATCTGTGTCCTTCTGTGCTCAGTACTCTATCTGGGTGGGAGTGGAATAAAGAGGTACCTCAGCCTCACAAGCTCACTCAGCAAAAACACCAAGTAAATGGACACCACTGAATTCTCTTGGGAATTTCTAGCTCTGTAGTGATAAGCAGGTTGGAAAAACATGAAAAATTAAAATCCGAGGTCATCCAGATGGTCCATCTTAATCAGTCATTTTGACCAGCCATGAAAATATCATATGCTTAGACCATTGACAAGAAATAACCCATTCTAACAATTTCTTTCTGTTTAGGGGTTGAAATTAGAAGCCCAAAACAGCCCTACCAGGCTAAGTTGAGAATTCTGGATGGATGTGAGACCTTCATGACCTACAAAAGCTACATGTTATTGAATTTCTAAATGTCATGAAACAGAGCAGACAAGTTGTTTTTTAACACCACCACGTTGTATGAGACCCACTGTTTCAATGTATGTTCTGGTAATTTCCTCTTATGAGACTAGGGAACATCTGGCCAAATAGCCTCTGAGGTCCAGTTTATGCTATTACATCAAAACAATAAATTAGGACTTTGGGGGTGGAGTGGGGAAGAATAGGATATTCCCTACCTCATGGGAGAGTCAAGAAATTTCCTTTCACCTGAACACTATGCCTTGAATACAACTAGGCCCACACCAGCTTGAAAGGTGATAGGTGGGGCAAGGTAACTATGACAGTTAGGTCAATGCTGCCATGTACCAATTTATCTTCATTCTTTAGAAAACAAATACACCATTGTCCTGATTTGCCTTGTTTTATTCAATGGGAGCACTAGGTAGCAGTGACAGATCTCTTGGACTTGATGGCATTTGAGGTCTTTTGTGACTGTGGTGTTTAAAAAGTTGGAGAGCATAATTTCTGAGTAATTAGTCATTTTATTAATAATACCAGCATTTTAATAAAACAGGTCAGTAGATTCTTGAAAGCCAAAGACCCTCATGGAGGTGAGTTCAAGGATTATATGGCCTTGGAAAAGTGGTTGTTGCAGAGGGTGGCAATCAACTGGATTGTTTAACAAGTAATGAGAGAATGAATATTACAATGAGGGCTGGACCTATCCTAATGAACTTTGATCATGTCATTTACTTCTAAATTACCCCCAGCCTTGGATCAGAGTGAGGATAAATAGCAATTATTTTTTTTCTGTTTTGGCCAGAAACCCTGAAGGTCTTCCCCTCCCAAATTGATTTTTTTTTGACTAGGTAAAAGAGACCATTCTTTGCCTCATTTCTTACCTAGCCTTAAACACTGAAGGGACATTGTCTCAGTCAAACTGAAACCTGGGGAAGAACTTAGCTTAAAAAGGCCAAGGTCTCTCACTACATCTAGGGCATCTCCAATTGTCTTGATCTATATCTCGCCATACCTATATCTATATTCTTACCACTAGCCAGTGAAGCTAATGATTTAAATCCCTCACTTAAATCCAATTCATTTCCAAGTCATGTCATCACCTCCCATGATGTCATGGTCATCTTCTAGAATGAAGGACAAACAACAACCACCACCCGCAGCCTTGGGCAATCTAAACAAAGAATCTATACCCACCACCCAAGCCAGAACAGAAGACAATGGGCCAGGAGTTTCACCTTAGATTAGAAGTCTGATCTAGTTGAGTAGAATAGCAACACCCAAAATTAGGAGAATTTTAATTCTATCTTCCATCACTCCTGTCTGGGAGAGATTGGACAAGGAAATAGGACAAGGAGAAAAAAGCTGGGGTCTCCCAAATTTTAATAATTGGCTATTAATATGAGAGGGAAATAATCATTTCTCTCATAACTCTGAGGTGCTGTAACTCAACGACTTCCTTACGGCTTCTTTCCCCTAGCCTAGATAAAGCTACTTCCTTCAACCAATCCTTATACAGCATTTATTCCTCCATTTGGTCTGCGTTTCTATGAGCATTCTTCTTTGGCCAACATAGATCTTACTACTATAATTTATCTTAAAAGCTGGAGGGAGAAAATATGACTTTAATCAGAATTTTTCAAGGATCTCCTGATCTGTACACTGATAAAGACAACTCTCATCACGTATTGACAAAGACTTCTGAGATTCTTAAATATTTGGATTTATAACGAGGGCGTTTTGAGACTATAGCTTTACCATTTCCTCCCAACCTATCGTGAACACAGCATAAACTTTTCTGGAATTCATTTGCCCTACTTAAAAAAAAGTATCAGTATCTAAATATGTCACCCCTCCACAAGAAAACTATTGCTTGTGAGTGAAAGGAAGGGAGAAAAGGAAACAGGTTCATAGACTAGCCAACACACCATTTCAGTTTGACAGAATGTGTTCTTCTACACACATATTTCCAAATTTCTCTGGTCATGGAATGTGGGTGTATTGAATTTTCTCTGCTTTGGGGACAAGTTTGGTTATAATTAGTCAGTATTCAGCTTTTTATTCTTTGTTATTTCCATTTTCATGTGGCGTAATATTTTACTGGTTTAGCCTTCCTCACTGCATCAGTTTAGTTATCTTCTCATGCTTCTCTGTGGTCTTCATATTAATTTCATTGTACTAGATTCTTGGTGTGAAGTCCAAAGTACTGAGGTCTCACATGTCCTTTTCAGTTATAAATCTGTGATCTTTAATTTTATGAAGGAGGAAACTGAGGCCACAGAGAAAAGGGACCTTCCCGAGATCATGGAGGAAGGTTCACTTAAGTCTTCCTGTCCTTTGAGGCTCAATGGTGATGGAATCCCATGGAAAGCAGACCTTATAGATGCATATGACATAGAAGCTAGGAGACACTTCAGACACCACCTTGTCTAACCCCTTTACTTTATACAGAAGTAAACAGAGGCCAAAGGTTAATATCAGAGAAAGGGTTCAAGCCCAAGTTTGCTAACTCAGTCCTGACCCTTTTGCCTTCCTCTAAAGGGTTGAAATAGACGCTTCCCCAGGGGCATCAGCTCTTCTGGGGCAGGGGCCTCATTCTCAGGATTTATGATGAGCAGATGATGAAGGCCTTCCAGCTGGACCCTATACTCTAGTTCACCCTGCCCCCCCTCCTCCATAAAGTTGGAAAAGCCAGGATGGACACAGAGAAAAAAAAAAAAGGACCCCTAGGCTTAGCACTGAAGGGTTTGCTCACTGCACTGTATGCCCTGCCTGAAATTCCCCTCCTTTTCATCCAGGTAGAAGTGCTGAGGAGCCTGGGGGAGCATTTCTCTGCTACCTGGGTTGGTCAGTCATGGCCCAGGGCCTGAGAGCCCCTTCTCACCCTTCCATCCTGGTCCTCCCACCCACACTCTGCGGTCCTCCTTAGTCATGGGGAAGTTTGGTTCTCTCTCCCCACTCTGCACTTGTCTCTTCTAAAGAGTCTGGAAGCAAAATAGCGTTGGCTTGCCAGGCACATATGTGGGAGTGAAATTGCTAAAAAATGGTTCATGAAGACATTGGTATTAGGAGATAGCCTTAATATGTCAGGCTTTCTTCCCTGACCTTTGACCAGTCTGGAAGTCATTTACTGAGAGCCTGGATTTTGACCCTTCCCTCCCCACAAAGTGAAACTCCTTCCCCAGCTGGAGTGGGTGCTCACTCTGACCCTACCCCCATCTTCCCGTCACTATCTGCTCCCCATCTCCCCCCATCACCCAAATGCCATCTTTGCACTGGGCTTTTCGCTACTCCTCTTCCTCACAAGGAAACTGGTCAGATACCCTTTTATTTTCTGTGCCTTGTGGCAATTTTATCAATTTATGGACTTCAAGCCAGCAACAGAGTAAACATTTATTAATCATTTATTATGTCCCAATTATAGTGCTAGGCTTTGGGGATACAATAATAAAATTGAAATTCACTGTACTTGAGGATCTTAAATTTCATTATGAAAAAACAACACATAAACCTATAATCCCCCCTTGGTGTAAAGCCCAGTTGCCACAACCTGGTTATCGCTTTGATGCCCTTGACTCCTTGCACTTCCTCCCACATCATGCTCTGTGTCTTTGTCTTCTCACTGGCTGCCCCCCATGCCTGGAATGGCTCCCTCCCCACCTCCACCTCTTGGTTTCACTGCCTTCCTTCAAAAGTCAGCTCAAACCCAACCTCCTCCAGGGGGCCTTTAATGCTGCCCTCAGATGCTAATGCTTGCTCCTCTAAGCGTGTCTTCCACCTATTCTCTATACATCTGGTTCTTGTTGAGTCATTTTCAGCTGTGTCTGAATCTTTGTGACCCTGTGCGAGGTTTTCTTGGCGTGATACTGGAGTGGTTTGCCATTTCCTTCTCCATTCATACTACAGACAAGGAAACTGAGGCAAACACAGTTAAGTGACTTGCCCAGGGTCACACAGCTAGCAAGTGTCTGAGGCTGGATTTGAACTCAAGAAGATGAATCTTTCTGGCGCCAGTCCTTGCACTCTGTGCACTATGCCTAGTTGCCCCATATATCTTATAGCTACAGTTGTTTAAATGCTATCTGCCTCGTTCTAATGCATGTTCCAACGAAAGGGGCAGCAACTATTCTCAGCTTTCTTTTATTCCCCAACACTTCAGTAGATGCCTGAAAAAAATATAATATATACTTAATAAATATTTACTTACTGACTGTTACTATCATTACTATTTTTGTTACTATAATATTTTGTTTTTCATACAGCTCTTCTGCCCTAGCATACTGGCCATTCAAAACTGGAAGCATTATTGAGACCACTGAGCCCAAACATCTCTTGTTACAAAATGCAGTCCCAGAGAGAAGTGATTTGCCAAAGGTCACATTCAAGTCCATGACAGCATGAGGGCTAAAATTTAGGCCTCCCAGCTCCCAGTCCTAGACATGATCTGTTCTTCCATAGAAAGAAATAGTGGGGTAGAGTGATTAATGTGCTTATTTAGAGCTAAAGGAGATGGGTTCAAATCTTGCCTCTGCCACATCTTTATCTGTGTGACTTTAGGCAAGTCACTTAACTTCTCTCTCTCAGTCTCCATTTTTTTTAACCTATAAAATGAAAGGGTTTGTTTAATCAGAAAACTTGAGATATGGTAGATTTCGGGGAGGGATGTCTGTGAACTTGGATGGGAAAAATGCATTCTTATTGCTGCTGACTTTTGGATTTCTGTGTAATCCTATGGATTGCTATTTCATTTTTTACAAACATTCTTCTGAGAAAGCAGTCATAGGCTCTGCCAGATTGCCAAAGGTATTCATGATACCAAAAAGGTTAGGAACCTCAGGATGGACTTTGAGCTCCCTCCTAGGTTCCAATTTCCTGGACTTTTATGCCAACTCACATACTAGCAGTACGACCCTGGGCAAGTTACTAAACATCTCTGGGCCTCAGTTTTCCCATCTGAGAAATAAGGAAGTTGGAATTCATGGCTTCTGAGTTCCCTTCCATCTTGAAATCTCTGCTCCTAAAATAAAAAAGGGGCAGCTAGGCAGTGCAGTGGATAAAGTGCCAGGCCTGGAGTCAGGAGCACCCAAGTTCAAAAATAGCCTAAGATATGTACTAGCTGTGTGACCCTGGGCAAGTTACTTAATCCTGTTTGTCTCAGTTTCCTCATCTGTAAAATAAGTTGGACAAGCAAATGGCAAACCATTCCAGTGTCTTTGCCAAGAAAACCCCAAATGGGGTGACAGATGTGACTTCAGTCAACTGAATAACAACAAAATATTGAAAAAAAAATCTTACTGAAAAAATGAAACATTCTATCTACCCTAACAGCTAATCATGTGAGGAAGACAGGTTTCCTAATTTTAAAGGTTGAAGAACAGGTGAGACTCCATGGCAAAGATTGTTGTTAGCTAGGTGAGTGGGTTCTGAATTCTTAGGCCCAGCATCTAAATTCTCACTGTAGTAAGTCTCATGGCCACTAGATGGCAGGCCAGCTAACCAAATCCACCGTGAGCTCCATTGACCCACCACCAGGCTGTGGCTCACTTTTGCA